CTGAATTCTGACCTTACATAAAGTTATGTACCACATATTTTTCTTTATTTCTGGGTGGCTGGGTAAGACTTACTTATTAAATGGGGCCTCATGCATGAAAAAACCTGCACAGAGAGATGAGTGAATAAACGGCACTGAAAGCCTCCAACACTTTATACTCCTAAAACTTGGTATGAATTGTCACACAGTGAGACAAGAAGTTAACCACGGCTCCCTCTGCTGTTCCTAAACACAGTTCTTGCCTGTCACAGGCCTTCCATTAATAGTGCAAGGCATTTTTCTCCCATGGGCTGATTGAGCTGCCTCCTTGATGTTCCCAGTCTCTGTTGGATCAAGAACAAGTACACAAGCTGAACTCTGATCCCCTGTAATGGCAGCGGTGTTCAGATAGACAGTTTGGCACATTATTAAATCACCAGAAGTACAGCAATGCCAACTGAAGGCTAAAACTGTTATCTTTAATTCCTTTCTCCCTGTGGATCAACATAGCAAGAGAAAATGAGATGTGATTGTTCAAGGAAGACTGTATGTACCATTTTGCCACTGCTAGGTACAAAATGTTCCTTGAGGATCATGCTGGATTTTGGGGTGGAATTCTAAATGTGCCAACTTCCATAGTGGGGACCATTCAGAATGTATACATTACTTTACCAGCCATCACAATGCTTTGCAGTTTGGCCATCCTTTTATTCTCCAAATGGCAAATTGTACTGCAAAGCATTCGCTTTCCATCTTGGAGAAAATCTCAGGGGACCCATTTCAGTGGTGGAAGGGGGGTGGGCAGGAGCAAAGCAGGAAGGTCCAAAATATCAACTCACCCAAGCCACACATGATCTGGTTTCACTTGAAACCAGAGAGGGGAGATAGTGAAAAAAACTTGCTAACTTAGTGCTACTGACTGCCTTATTTTCCTCCAAGTGATGGTTAAATTAAAGGCCTTTCAGAAACTGCTTGTGTCATCCCTAAGAGACAGGGGACCACTGGCAACCCAGCCCAAGTAAAGACAGGTGAGCTCAGGTAAAACCAAATTATTAAGATCAATTTGCTGTGGGCTGGCCCTATTTATATTTGTCTAGAACTATGTCTTAGTGAGTATATTGGAAATTCCTCCTGAAGGTTAGGTTACAAATTTGCAATCTTAGGTGTACTTGTGAGTAACTAAGGACTGGAGTGCATGACTGCAATCTTAAATTCTTGAGGCCGTCTTGAGACCTTTGGTACAGATGGGGTACAAATGTGTTAAGTAAATAAACAAACTCACTTACCTTGGATTTAATTTTAGCCCCATTTAACTGAGTGGTACATATTTCAGAGTAAACATGTTTAGCATCAGGTTGATAAGTGCACCAAACTTTATCTGAATTACACCTACAGTATATATCTGAATCACAGTAATGTGGAGCATTTGCATATGATCATGTTAATTAAAACTTCAATTACTGGGTTATTTTGTAATAATTAACATGCGAATATCTTCAGACACTACATTTTGTCCAGTAAGACAGCTCTGAATTGTGTAAAATAGTAACTGTTGTATTGCAAAAGGGATTTACATTTCAGTTATTTAAAACTGTGTTTATTCCCTTATTCTTTGCCTTATTTTAGTTAGGTAAGCACTTGTTAAAAAAGATAAAATAATCCTTTTTATTTTGTAATAGTTCAATTGCTACAGGGAACAATATCATTTTAAGACAGTCTCCAAGCATTTCGCAGTTTTGCATATAAGGCTCACAAAGCATGTGACAGAGGATAATTAAACTGTAATTATGTAACTTTGCTTAAGGTTTTGCCTGCTAGTTGTCCTAGGGTCTATTATTATTGCCCACAAGCATTAGTAAATTAGCCATATCTTTTCCCAGCAGGGATTGAATCTGTTCCTTGAAGTCATCTTGCTTCTGCCTCTTTTGATTGAATGAAAGCTTCTTCTTCCAGCCAAATTGTTTAAGTGGTGGCAAAAACCCCACTGAACTTGGCAGAATTACTGGCAGTATGCTTATCGGATCACAGCAGTGCATGATTCCTGAGCAGAATACATTTTTGAGACATTATTCAGACAAATAGTGACAGCTCTTTAAACATTTGCATTACTCCAATCACTGACAAGTTTATGAGACAGCCGATATTTAGATTCTCTTTTGATGTGATTCTGCCTCCATGTGGATGGATAGTGAGTCACCCTGGAACCTAACATGCAGATAAGAATTGAGTGGCATTCTGATTTACTGAGAAACTCATTTGTTAAGAACTTTGAGACAGGAAGAAATTTAATTTGTGTGCTTCCTTTCCTTGTTAGAGGTATAGAGGAAGTAGTACTGTGTTTCTTGGGATTTTTTTTAAAGATAAACTTGTTTGGAAAAACTCAGCAAGCTATGCAAGCAATCTAAAGCTGGTATGTTTATAATGGCTGGCTTGTTTCTCTGAGCTTATTTGATTCTGTTGAGTAATTTTAGCATGTTAGTTTAAGCCACTCTGAGTGCCAGTTTTGGTAGAGGGCAGGGCACAAATCAAATCAGTCAATCAAACAAACAATAAACAAACATCTCTGTAGAGGAGGTACTCTCTAGGATTGAATTACCAAAGAAGACAATCCCATTCCATGCTGTTAACACCTTTTGCACCCTGTGCACTAAGGTCATGGGGTGAGTTACAGTTTAGCTGTATACCCATTTCTACTCTATCATAACTTGGTGAAGCAGTATCATGATGAAGGGAGATTTCTCCTTGCTACATACAGCTGTGATCAGACTTTATAGTAAAAACAGTACCCAATATATTCCCCTCCATAATTTATAGAGTATGGATAAGGGTTGCAAAGAAAAAGTCAAAGACGATTCATTCAACTCCAAATATGGAAACACCAGTGATGAACACTTGGATAATCATGGGAATGCTTTAAATAATGTTATAACCATTGTTCCTTCCAAAGGGGGAAATAGAAATGTGATGGATAGGAAGCACACATCTTCATTCTCATCCTTACAGGCCATAACTTATTATCTCTTAGATATGAAATTCTCCACTTTTTATTTAATGTAATTAGATACTAAGAGACAAAACAAGTACCTTTGTGGGTACTTGTGCGTAATGAACATTGCATATAAATATAACTGTGATTCTCTCCACTGATGATTATCTACTTTGGTAGATCCAGTATTTCAAAAAGGACCTCTGGAAATATAACTGTAACAGTCTTCTGCTGCAGCTTTGAAATTATAAATCTGGTTTCTCCTTCTAAAGCTCTGGGATGAAAAGATCTATTATTAAGGAGGAGCAGGGTCTATTCAGAAAAAAGGGGGCATGTCAGACTAGTCTTTTGTGCTACATGACTTAGGGCACAAGTCTATGAATATTTACAAGAACTACAACTCTCAGCAGTCCTCAGCCAGTATGGCTGCCTGGGGAGGGCTTGGATTGTAGGATTTATTTTTATCTAAACATGTATAAGATCACTCCCATACAGTGCAATCATATGTATGTCTACTCAGAGATAAGTCCTATTACATTCAGCAAGGCTTATCCCAGGCAAGTCAGTATAGGATCGCAGCTCTGGTTTATTTATTTGCACAAATAAACATTTCTTTGTGGCCTTCATCCATTTTCATTTAGCTTCTCCTTTAGCAAATAGAGGATGGCTATGGCAAAAGTTGGCTATAATCACGAATTGATAGAATGCTTATGAAGACTAACATCATAATAACAATATGCTAATAGTTGTTGGTTCTGGTAATACTTTAAGCAACACACACACAGTGATATTTTGGCACAATTTAAAAAATAGTCATATTAAATTCCACCCATAAATTCCTTATGTCATGCTGACACCATCACAGCACTTACTCATTGTCCTGAGAAAATCTAAGCCCATACACAAATCTTTAAGCAGCTCGCTTAAGATGCAAACGTGAGCAAATTTAGATAGAAAAAAGCCCCACAACTCCCAGCGTTCTCTAGCCAACATAGGAGTTGTAGGCCGTTTTGCATAGGACTGACCCCCTTTTGAGTAACCAATAAAGCACTAGCATTTCGTCTGGCATCCCAATTACTGGTAATGTAAAATTAATGCCACCTGCCCTAGCCTTCCCCCAAAGAGTAACCATCCTGCCCTTTCAACTTCTCTTTCCCTTGCGCCACTTCCTCCATGGAAAAGGGGTCCGGCTTCCAATTTCCTCCCTCTCATGTCAAGGAGACGTCTTTTTCCCTCCCTCTCCAGAGCCTGACTGAAGACTGACGGAAGCACCACTCCTATTGCATTTAAACCCATTGAACTGAAAGGATAGATTCTACAAGGTAGATTCTTCTTCGAATATGACTAACTCAAGTCTCATTCAATGGTGCATGTTTAGATCCTGGACATAATGATACTTGTATTGGTTTTTATCATGTTTTATTGTGTTTTTATTTTGCGGTTGTGAGCCGCCCCGAGGTGCTATGGCATAATTGGGCGGCTTATAAATGTTTTAAATAAATAAATATTATTGCAGGCGTAGCTTTAGACATCCCTTGTGATACTCGAGTAGCGCGACGCACAAGTAACATTTCTCTTCTTGCTAATTTGTTAGAACAGGGACAACGAAAACTGTTTGCCATCTGGGAACGGGCTGCCTTGCATTTTTAACTCCCTTAAACTAGTCCAATATCACGGTAATAGCAATAAAGCGGCGTTTGCTTCTGCTGCTCTCAGTACCTGGCGCTCTCTGGGTGTTTATTTGGGGAGGAACAAGTCCCTTCTCAGTAGCACCGCTATTCCAAATAGGTCTAGCGCTGGATTAAACCCGTGGATACTCAAGCAATGTGCTCCAAACGCTGGATTTTACACTGTGTGACAGCGCACGCTCATCCTACTTCGCTTTGCGCCTGGTCGCGCGTGCGCTCTATTCAACTTACGCTCCTCCTCCTCCTCCTCCTCCTCCAGGAATGCCTTCATCCGCGCATACAGCGGTAGGTAGGCCTTTAGTTGTCTGCAACTGCTGGCGGCCGTGCTTGCGCGTGGAAAAGTCGCTCGTTTGTCCATGAGGTGGCCAAGGGTACTTCTTTTGTTCTCTTGCTGCGGGGTTCTGGAAAAGCCTCTCTCGGCGCCCACACTCGTGTGGCGCTGCAGGAACCGGGCTCTTCGAATGCAGTACCCCCAACCAGCCGCATTGGGAAACTGTAAAGCCGGGTAGTTTCTTTTCGACGCGAAGAGCAAGCAAACAAGCAAGCGCACCCTGTAAATAAGGGTGCAAACGCATGCACGGTTAGACTTTCAAACATTCCTTCAGTTCTGAGGAATGCTGGGAGTTGTAGAAATGCTTTGGTTTGCTTGTTTGGCTGTCAGCGTACACAGGTGCCGTAGGTAAGCAAGTAACGGAGCAGCGAACTTTTCACCCCCGAAAATCTACAACGACCGGATCCGCTACTATTCTTACATTTCATTCTCCTAAGACTTATAGTTACAGATTAGGAAACAGGTGTCTCCGGCGTCTTTCGGCCCGCGGAAGGCTGGTTAGGAGGATGGTCATCTGTCCCCACCCCCCCAAAAAACCAACCCCTAGTTTCCCACTGCTGATATAAAGTAAGCCCCGTGAATTTACAGGACTTCCTTCATGGTAAATGGGGATTAGGATTGTGCTGTTCGCTAATCAGCCTTCCTAAACCTGCTGCTTTCTAGTTGTGTTGGACTACAGTGGCCATAATCACTTGACAGCATTGCTGGCATTTGGAGAGTATCAGATTGTGGAGGCTCGTGGCTGTATCTTTCCCATAGTGTTTTTTTCCTCTCCCCCTTTAAAACTACTGTTCTTTGGTAGACTGGGGAAAGAAACCCATTTCCATAGCATCTTCACAGTAACAACATAATTGCAAAAGAATGATTTTTAAGCCTTGCAACACTGTGTGCTTATTTACTGAACACTTTTAATATCTGCACTTTCCTTTTCTTTAAGGGAGCAATCCTATCACCCATAGATGCTGTCTGAGGAGCCATAGTGCTGGAGGATTATGCCCTATGAGGTCAGCCCTCTGACATCGGAAGGGGGGGTTGCAGATTTGATTCCCTTTGCAGCTGGAACATCACCTGCTGACCTCCAAGGTCAGGAAATTAATCTTGGAGATGGGGAAACCATGGTATTTCAATGGGCAGGGAGGGGAGAAGACTGGAAAGGGCAGCATATGAGTTGTCCTGAGGCCTTCCAGCCACTTTTCTTCTTGCTTCAGTGCCCCACCACTAATGTTCCTAACATGTACTGGGTGATCAGAAGCCTGAGGCATGGGGCATCCGATCATTGAGTGTTCAGCTGATAGAACTGTGGGGTTTTTGTTAAATTTATGATCTGGTTGGTTGGTTTTGAAAATATTGTTTAAATATAAATTTACAAAGTTGACTATACTTGAATTTGATAGCAGTGGGAATCATGACAACTTCTGGGGGCCACTTTGAGGATTATGTATTTAAATTAGAAGCCCTTTTTGCTTCATACGTTGAAACTGGTTAGCAGTGGTGCTATAGTAGTATAAGCATGTAGATAAGGTTAATCTGGTATATGCTGTCTACTCGGACACTCAAAAAGTTTGTGAGAAAGTTCCTCACCAAATACTCCAAAGGGACCTTAGCAGTTATGGCATAAGAGGACAGGGCCTTTTATAGCTTGGTAACTGTTAAATGACAGATAGTAGCATAAGAATAAATGGACCTCCAAAAGAAGGAATATAAGATGGGTCCCTCAAGAACATGTATTGCAACCGGGGCTTTGTTGTTCATAAATGATCTGGAATTGGGGGTAAACAGTAAGGTTGTCAGGTTTACTGAATTATTTTTGAAAGATAGATTTAAAGCAGTATGGGACATTATAGAAATACTGTGTAGCCGTGCAGTTTTTCTAATGAATTAAAATTGATTTTTAATAAAAGCAAGAGTTTAGTAAAATGCCAAACACCATCTTCTACTGGAACTGTACATGTGAGATTGAGGAATTTTGTGCCTGCAGTGTGCAGAAACTTCTCAAGATGATGTAAATGATCAGATCCTGAATGATCTAGAATTAGACGTGTACGGGGGCTGAGGTGGCCAATATTTTGGATAGCACCAAATGATTAAGGGTAGTAAACCAGAGAAGGGTGGTAAACCACATGGCATTCCAAAGAGATCTCTTCCAAATGGGTGTTTGGATGTTAAAATGGCAAATTTAGTTCAGTGCAAACATACAACGATGCATTGTGAAACAAAAAATCCTTACTTCACATTTACACTGATGTGCTCTGTCTGAGCTGTTGGTGACTGACTATGAAAGGGAACTTGTGCAGAGTATGAATAGTTACTGTGGTTGGCTTAATAAAAACATGAACCCAGAGTGTGACATCTGTGAAAAATGATAGCCATCTTAGGGCTCAATAGGAAAGGGTCTGAATGGAAAAAAACCCACCAATATTACAATGCCATTATATAAATCCATTGTCTGACCACACCTGGAAAACCATGCATTGTTGTTTCACTGCAGCTCAGAAGGGATATTGTAGTGCTGAAACATTTGCACAAACAGGCAACCAAAGTGATCAGAGGGCAGAAAAAAAATTAGGAATAAAAGCTAAAACATGCAGTTTTCTACTTTAGAAAAAGCAGTATGTAAAGGTAGGACAGGATAACATCATATAAAATTATTCATGTTGTGAAGGAATAGGATAAACAGAATTTTTAATTCCTCTCTTATAAAACTCAGACTCAGTGTCACCTGATGAAGCTGAATAGTTGTCTTCTGCTAATGTTCTCCAGTGGCTGCTGTTCGGAGGACTCTGATCCTAAATACCCATCATGATTAGAATCATACAGTTGTTATGACTCATAGCCTTAACTTCATTAATTTGTGTAATTCCCTTTCAAGATGATGACCATCACTCCATCGTGCGGCCACAGATTTCATATTTTAAGTATGCTGTGTGCATAGCCATTTTGTCTGTTTTCAATCTCCCACTATTTCCTTCATGTGCAGCTTGTGAGCTTTCCAGAGGTATCTCATTGGCCACTGTGGGAAACAGGATGTTTACGTAGGTAGCCTTTTGGTCTGATCCAGCAGAGTCCTTATGGCCCTATTAACTGTTGCTTCTAGATCAGTGACAGGGATGATTTGCACAACCACAGTTTAAGAATTACCACTAATACTATTGACATTTCAATCACTTTAGGTTATAGTATCCTGACTTTTTCCTGAATTCTGATATTTTCAGATCTGAATAAAAGTGATTTTGATTTCCTTACAATATTTTTTATGTGACAGATTTATTTCATTAAAAAAACTTAGAAAAATAGATGTGCACTTGGAAGTTATTGTCATCTTCTGCTTGTCAAGAACAGCTGACAATCAGTGTACTTTGGCATAAAGATAAGCATAGTTTAATGTTTACATATTTGCATTGATTACCCTATTCTTATTTGTAAAGTCAATTCAAGAATGATTTGTTAAGTACTAAGAATATAAAAGCAATGTCACAGAGAAGAAGGCCTAGACAGGACTTACCATTTTAGAACAATTCATCTCCATGTGGGTTGTGGTTACACTGTGTTTACACTTCAGAGGATAGTGCCAACAGAATTATAAAATAGCCTGATTGTAGTGCACTGATTTGAACTTGAAGGGTCTAAATATATGAGAAAAGTGTAGATAATATTAACAATAAGTCTGGCATGGGCTTTGCAATTGTTGACTTGGCTCATATGGTAAAATAACCCGCTGTAGGTGTCTAGCCATGAGGCTAGCTTATTTTTTTGGGAACAAACCGGTTTCACAAGTGATGGCATGCTCTAGGGTTTGTTGGATCCATGGTAGGTTATCATCTTTTTTGAACTTGGGAGAGCAATTTCATCATGGGGTGTAAGAATCCGTTAGCAGAACACTGCGAGAGTGGTAGAAATCACTGCTGCTCATTGCAGTTTTGCCCTCTCCACAGCTGCCAGTGGCAGCCCCTCCACTAATGCCCAAGTGTACTTTATAATCATTACTGGTTTGTCACTACTGGGTTTTTTTTTTTTGGTCCCCCAAAATGTGCAAATGTGCATATTTTTTATGTTTCATTTTGTTGGACTTTCACAGATACGTTCTTACACTATCCACTATGTATGAAGGTTTTTAGTCAACTTCCTCTTATAGTTCAGCTATCAAAGGCAGCTATGAAATGGAGTAAATAATGGCTATGGAAACTGATAAGGTGACACTGCATACAGGTTAATTTGTACGTATTTGCCAGAGGCCAATTGCCGAACTGCTAACTAAAAAACACTGATGAAGGGGAGAAAGTTGCAAAAGTAGGTGCACGGAAAGAGGGGAAGACCATTATTTCCCTCTAAGAAATGTGATCCAGTAAGGTTGACCTAACAGTTTTCCTCCAGGTCTTGAACACTTCCATACTCTCCAGCTACTTCAGAAAGGGGAGCTACTGGCTCCCTTTACCTTCCATAATTTCTTTTTTGGAGAACTTCCTGTGAATTCCTGACAGTTAAAAATAAAACCGAGAAGGTAGCTGAAGGGAACAAAATCAATGGGGCCCCATGTGGGGCAAGTATAAGTACTGCTGATGCCCCTTTTGTGTCCTCTAAGTGTGTCACTTCTACAAAGATGGTTTTAAAAACTTTCTGGAATATTTGTGCAGTTTTTTTTGAACTAGAAAATAGATGAACATTTAATCACTGTGAAGTAAATGGAGAAGAATTCTACATAAATTCAAGGTTGGAGAATTAAATGAAGAGGAAATTTTCATACTTGCAGTAATGGAACAGTTAATGCAGATGCAGAAATTTCCCCTTCATTTACATCCCAGCCAAAACATTTGTGTATTTTTCTGCACTGTTTTTATAGCAGTGAGTGACCTGCAGTAGGCACTGAGGAAAGGGTGGGTGGAGTGAATATCTCTCCTTTCTGGAGCAGCTGGAGAGTCAGTGAAGTGTTGAATTGACACATCTCAGTGGCTCCACCTTTTCAACACTTTAGAGCAAAATGATCTCATTGCCGGGGGAGATATTTTCATCCCCCCTTTTGACAAAGGCAAGACCAATTGGATACCATCTGTCAGTGTTATCAATTAATTGTCAATTATTCTTTGGAGATGTCAAAGATCTGTGCTATTTTTGGAGGATCCCGTGGAATCGGTCAGGCTGTTGCCCAACTGCTGGCTCAGAAAGGATATTGCCTAGCTGTTGTTGCAAGAAATTTGGACTTAGCTCAGTCTACTGCAAAAAGCTTGGGAGGTATGTATTCTTTGTCATTTTGCTTATATATACAACTTAAATTTATAAAATGTGTCCAACTATTACCATAACACATTTGTGTTAAAATAACTTTCTAATCTTGAGTAAAGCAGCAGAATAATTTTACATTCAAACATGCCTGGAAATCTGCTGGTTCACCTTGTCTCATGATACAGTTCATGTCAGTGGGAATGCATGTCAGTGGGAATCTATCATTTTCAGTTTTTTTCCTGACAAAGAGTACCATACAATTTTTAAAAATATACTCTGTCTGAAGCAGACATTGCTTCAATAAAAAAAACCCTCATTTATTTTGGTTATTGTTTTCAGCAGCCACATGCTAACAACTCTTTATGACCCATTTCATGCCTCATGACAATCCATAGTTAATGAACTGGGTTATTGAGTAGACCAGCAAATGCAAGCATGCAAGCTTGTTCCCATTTGTCTGCTTTAGGGATTGGGCCCATTCCTCCTTTAAAACTGCCATCAGAAATCAGAATCAGATTCTGGTTCAGAGAAGAAGGGGAAGCCAGAATCTGCAGCTAAAATGCCAAGGCCCACAGACCCAGAGACAAGCCAGGCAGTAGCTGACAATCAGATGATGTCAAGTTCTTTGGGAAAATTTAGTGAGCAAACTGATATGGAGGAGTCAGATTCAAGATCATGAATCGGATACAGCAGCATGATAAAAGACTGGTTGAGAAGCTTTAGATACTCCAGGCAATTGGCTCTTGAACAGGAGGACCCACCTTAAAGGTGTGGTTTTCTCTTTTCAGTGTGGAATGGAGGAGCAGTTGGGAATCAGCTACTTATCATTGAGCCAAATGTCCTTAATGGCCAGTATTCTAACTTGGCTCTTTTCTTCTTTTATTGACTTCTGCAATGCTCTGCTTTTGTAATATAAAGCCAGCCTAGCTGGTCAGCTTTAGCATAATAAAGCCTTTTAGTTTGAAAGCCCTTGTTCTGGTGTACATGGAAGAAGTGGGAAAAGAATGGCCAGGACATGTGCCTTTTTGTGCTGCAATAAACAACCCTGGGTTGCTTCTATAATGTCTAAACCCAGAATCCTGGGTTCTTGAGGGATGAACAATCCAGAGTTTGAACAGTGAGTTTATTGTAGCAGGAGTGGAGAACAAGCAGGAACCCATAGGTATATTTGCAGGAACCTATAGGTATATTTGCTCCTGCATAGCTACTGGACACCTGGTTTGTTAATTGTAGTTGTCATGACATCTGAACCCAGCTTCTGATTTGTTTATTTACAGTTGTGGTCTCTGAACTTCTTGAAGATTGTGTATCTCATTGAGGATTTTATTTTCACACAGCAGGTCATTTAGCATTTAGTTGTGATGTTGCCAAAGAAGAAGACATCCAGAATACGTTTAATGAAATTGAGAAGAGTTTAGGTCATATACAGTATCTTGTTAATGCTGCAGGTATTAGCAGGTTAGTTTCAAATTTAAATTGTGCTCAAAATTATGCTTTAGAAAATATCTAACATTAAATATGCATGTAAAAAAACCCCAGAAACTAACATGATTTATTTGCCTGTTTATTTGAGAGTGTTCAAATGCAACGTCTTTAAAATGTCTAAGAGCTTGTGGAAGAAATATTTATAAAATTTGGTCCTTCTTTGGCTTAAGATACTTAACCTTCCATTATTCTGAAAGAACTCTTTCATTTGAGTTAGTCTTTCTGAAGTGATCAAAGGGTGAATAGGATTTTGCGGGTTCTTTATCTCTATTTCATTTTAACGGACTTGTTTAAACAGTAGTACAATCAGTATCTTGTCTAAGCCTCGAGGGAATGTAAACATTAACTCATTTATAGCAAGGAAAGGTGTATAGATAAAATATTTTGGGGTACCCTGCTCAAGACAAAGCTTGCTAGTTAGCTTTAAGAAACAGTATTGGTAAACAGTTGAATTTTATATTGAAATTATTATAATTTACACTTTGGCACCTCTTTAGGCTTAAACAGTAATGCATTTTAACAAATTGGCTGACATGAACCTATTTGTAATTGTTTTCCATATTGTTGAATGTATTGTGAAGAATTTTGCTTGAACAAACTGTCTAATTTCTTTCTTGAGTGAAATGAGCAGTATTTCCCCAAGAATTCATGTTAATCTCTGTCATTTTTGACTAGGGATGGCTTGTTGTTGCGAACCAAGACTGATGATATGGCATACCACCTGCAGACCAATCTTTTGGGAACAATGTTGACTTGCAAAGCTGCTGTGAAGAGTATGATTCAACTGCAGGGTGGTGCTATTGTTAACATAGGTGTGTCTGCCTAAGCAACTATGCTTATACTAATATTTTCAAGAAACAGTGCAAGCTGTGTTAAGTTGTCTCTTGCACAAATGCACATGTTTGAAAGTTATGATCAAAGCTGGATGCATTTTGAGTCAGGTTGATCACCTCTGGTTGGTATTCTTGAGGGAATAGCAGTTGGTGGGTATTTGGTCAATGGATGCATCCAGAGTGTTCTTTCCCAGGCCTATAGGCAGTTGGAGCGTTTATTGCTGATCGTGATTGGGATGAGAATCTCTTGCATCACTTCCCGGCAAATGGGGTGCAGTGCCTCAATGGGCCTTCATCCCCTTGTGGAGGGGAAAAGGCATTGCATTCATGCCTTCTGCTCTCTGCTCCCAAATAATCACTAATACTCCAATTCAACTTATATGTCATCATTAGCTTTATGTTTTAAGATGACTTGGGGGCTGATAATGGGAAGGTGGGGCATAAATATTGCTAAAATTTCTCTAACAGAAAATGCCTGTGATGTCATAATAACATCACAGAAGCCATTGGAAACATACTGCAATGTATTTATTTTTAAATTCATAAGCAGAAGGATACATTACATCAGTTGGATTATTGAGATGTTTGGTCCCATTTTCTTTATAGATTGCCTTCATGTTAGTATTTTTCATACAAGAAACAGGTAAGTATAGACTGTGTAAACAGAAAGTGGAATATTATACTTTTTATCCCACATAGTTGTCAGGTTCTATATGTAAAATTACTTTCTCTTGATTTTCTAGATTTAAATCTTCAACAATATATTCTAGTCTTGACAGTTCTACTTGTGTGCTGAATCAAATGAAAATCATGAAGTGAAATCCATTTGTGTCCATCTACCAAGATATTTGTCAGTGGAACGGATTCTCATCATCCCTCCACTGCAGCCTTTATCCAATCTGCTGTACCCTCCAGTTTTTGGAGTGCAAGGGAAAGGAGAGGACAGGACATTTCTATTGCTTAACTAGAAAGTTTCTCATGTGGTGTTGTACATTGCCCATTGTTCATTTTGTTTATCCTTTTATTTGTGCAATAGATAAATAGTAAACACATAATATAAGTACAGAATTTGAATATTCAGGCCACAGTCATGGCTTGTCATTTCATACTAACTCATGGTTTGATCTGGGGTTATGCAAGGGTTGTTTAACTCTCACGTTACCTACATTCTGTGGGTTTGAATGACATGGCAAGTTACAGTATTTAAAAACCACCTGGCACATGGCTTAAAAAAGCATGGAGGGTATCTGTCTGAAGGAATATTGGAAGAAGCAAAGGATCAGTTTGGGTTTAGGGAAGGAGGAAATTTCCCACGCTGCCAGTGTCCTGCCTCTCTCTCTTGCCCTCTCTACCCATTGAAAGTGTTTTTGGGTTCCTGCTTGGATTTTTATACAGCAGACTTAACCTGCATCTGAAATACATCTTCTTGCATGCAGTCTTGCTTCTTCACCCTTTATGTTTATTAAGTAAGTAATATAAGGGTGTTTTTATTAATTTTCTGAAAAGTTCCAAATGTATCAAGATAGAGTTATAGTTATTGTAAAAATGAACCTTCTTTGACTTAAAATTTGTAAGCTGTGAATGCCTTTCTGCTTGGTTTATTTTAGGAAGTATTGTTGGATTGAAAGGCAATTCTGGGCAGAGTGCATATAGTGCCAGCAAAGCAGGTCTGGTTGGATTTTCACGCTCTCTTGCTAAAGAAGTTGCAAGAAAGAACATTCGAGTTAATATGGTTGCTCCAGGTTAGTCTTGAGTTCAGTCACTTCTTTCTTTCACTTGGGATTCAGCAGGTTAGTGAGATGTGGTGACAAAACATGAACACTATCAGCTCTTTAGGTACAAAATGTAGAACATGGTGATTTCTCCAAGCTTTCAGATTTTAGAATTAGTCCCACAATTACATCAACTATATATACAAGATAGCAGAGGGATAAGAAACATTGCAATCATTACTGTTTTCAAGGCAATCTGCACTAAAATTATATAACAATGGAGACTAAGAGACACTTGCTCTTCCTTCTGCCTTTTTCAATAGTTCTGCTGTCACGTTTGCAGCCTCGAAATCCTGTTAGGCAATTAAGGTGAGCCAAGTGACTTTTTTAGGTGGGAAGTAGGTGGGGATTCTCTTTCTCCAGCTACTGTTGCTGAAGTGGGTTTTCCCTGTTTTTCCTGCCTTTCATAAACATCTTGCTGTCACTTTGTAGGCTATAACGTATATGTTGCAGCAGAGCTTTAAAAAAGGGAAAAGGAAATCTCAAATGCAATCTTTTTCTGAAGTAGCTGCTAGAGAAGCTAGATTGCATTATCATAATCCTGACAACCAACAGAAGGTTGTTGTCTCTTTAGGACTGTGTTTTTTTCAGCCAACATTGAAGTATTTCCAATGAACATATGACAAAGACAACAGTTATTCTAGTAACAGATTAAATAATTGTTGACATACTACTGGGAGTTTTGTCCAGTGTTAGTCTAACTTGAGCCTTATTTATTTCAGTAGGTATACTTTAAGTAAGATAAACTACAGATGCAACCTTAAATTTTAATATATGGAGAAACTGTTAATAAGCAATAGTGTGACTTTCTTTAACTTAGTTAAAGTTCATGTACCTCTTCCTTGAAAGACCAGCCTCAAGTTAAAACTTTCATAAATATTTTAAACACCCTCTTTTAGAGTCTTTTGGATTTGGTACCGATTACAGTTTAAGAATTATTATTATAAAAAAGAGGAACATGTGGGCCAGTGTGGTGTATAACATAGAAAAGAGGAGAACTTTGTAAAATGCCTGGGTGCTCTGCAAAAGGAAGAAAGGTGGGGTATAAATGTAATAATAGCAATAAGAATAGTCATTCAGCTGCCTCTGTAGGGTATAGCTGTGTTTAAGGACACTAGCCCCCTGTACTTTTTGCTAGTCGTTCTTTAGTATATAAGAAAATAAGTGTAACTTACAAGTTTTGTGAGAGTAACCACAAGAAGCATCTACTTTGAGCCCTGTTAGTTAAGGAAATATTTGAGATCTTCATATATTTCTTTTGCTTTTGTGAATAAATTCTTTCATGCAGAAATATTTTTCCCATCTTTTTCTGCTTTAGTAATAGCAAGCCATTTTTTTCTGCTTGTCTAAAGCAGAACTGTACAGTGACTGTCTGGCTGAAAAGATGAGTAGAAAAAAAGCAAATAGTAATCATCATTTTATGTATGCACACAAACAAAATAATTAGCTATTACATAAACATTGTCCCTTATTTTTAATAATTCCATTGGGACTTCTCCACTAGCCACAGTAAGCGTTGGATCAAACATTAATAGCTTCTGACATCCCAGTCAACCGCTAGCCATATGCTGAATAACACCAACAAAAGTGCCTGATACGGGAATTCAACCTCCAATCTCCTAACTCAAGGCATAAATGCACTTGTCATGAATTGTCTTTGCTCATTTTGCTCTATTCTGATGTCCCTTGATCTTATGCTGATGCCCTTTGATCTTACTCTGCAATCCTACACTTTCCAGTCATAGGCCCACTGAAATCTATGGGACTTCCTTCTGAATAGGCACAAATGCATTTGCAATGTGAGACTCTCAGTGCAATGGCTTTCTGCTTATTTTATTGTGAAATGCAGCTTTTCTTAATTGAAATGTTCCAGTTTGTTGTGGAACAGGCAAAACTTCCTTCTGGGCTTGTCCAGGTGTGACTTCCTCTTCAGACCTTTATACACACATAAAGACATAGATGCATACAGGGAGATTCTGCAGTTATTTGAACACAGGATTTCTCTGTCCTGGAATGTAGAACTCCCATTGTATCCTCCCAGGATAGCTGTAGCCTTCTGCAAATCCTGAGCAGGGGAACTATGAGACCTGCTTGGCAGAAGGACAGCATATTAGACGTATTAGACAGCCTCTCCTGCTTGAATGGGTACCCTGTCTAAGTATAGTCTTTTAAAAAAGGCCATTTGCATCTATAGCTGTAAGTCAGCAAACATAAATTTTATGTGCTTTTTGTTGAGGCATTTTCTCTCGTCTTGGGATCATGCAAAGTGGCCGCTCTGGTGTGTGGGTTGTGCAAGGCTGAGTCCGGCTTCCTGTCTCACCACACATAGTTGTTCAGGGGAGTGAAGGAGAAAACTGACATCTGAAGTCAGAAAAAAATATGAATTTACCGTCAGAAGGCAAAGCTTTGTGTAGAACTTGACAATGTGAAAATTGCTATGTAATTTCATCAACTGCTGATTTTATCTGGATTGATGGCCCCAGCTTCAGAAAGCTTCAGGAAAGATTGAACAAAGGATTTAGAAAAAATTGATTCTCAGTTGTGGAGCTGCCCTGGGTTTTGACTGATGTGTGATTCTGAATCCCACAAGACCACACTGATCTGTAAACAGGAATTATTAATAGGAATTAGGTCAGCATTTTACTAGATTTTATTTAATTATCATCTTTCCCCTTTCCCTCTGTTAGGCTTCATTCATACAAATATGACAGCACATCTGAAGGAAGAACAGTGGAAGAAAACTATTCCCCTTGGAAGATTTGGGGAGCCTTGTGAAGTTGCCAGAGCGGTTGTATTTCTCCTAGAGTCTCCTTATGTAACAGGCCATGTTCTAGCTGTAGATGGAGGTTTGCAACTTCTCTTTTAAAACTGTGAAAGATAGTCTTGTTTTATGGAAACAGCCAAGAAGTGAACTGGGATGATACCTGTTTTGCAGCATTTTAAATCTGTATGTAGCCTTGAGCCATTTTCATTGTTGAAGACAGCACATTTTTATTGTAAATCTTCAGAAAAAAGCCTCCCTCATATCTATAAGCATGTATCAGACCTTTGAATCAAGTTTTCTCATTTTATGTCATGCATCAAAATTTGATTACCTGCATCAATAATACAGTTGTCTGTTTAGATTTGTAAGCTGAATTGGTAGAAACACAAAGATAACAGAAAAATACACAAAGCAAAAAAAAAAAAAAAAAAAAAAAATTCAGGCCTGCTATAACTCTGGGAATGTAGTCTCGAAACACTGAATTTATATGAAAAGTTGATTTTCACATAGGCTTGATCCAACAGGAATAAGAGAAGTAAGTTTAGTGTTTGGAAAATGATATGTATGTGGCTGGAATGAATGCCCCTTGACATTATCAGGAGTTTTAGTTCATGAACAGATCTTCTTTTCACCTCTTGAGGTCAGTATAACTTAAGGGATAGTGGTTCATCAAGACAAGTTTCATAGAATGGGTGTGGCGTTTCATATTGTAATACATTTAGTGTCATCTATCTTCAATTTATTTTTGATTTGAATTTTCAGAATTAATACATGCTGTTAGGCCCCATGTTTTCATTGCCTTTCGTGAAACTGAAAGATAATTTAAAAATCCAGATTTTAAATAATGACATTGTATTATTTGTCTATGTAAACATGTATTCACATGGTACTTGATGAGATTTAGAAAGCAACTTTCCCACACATGGCTTGAAAACAAATGTTTCTTTCTTTATATCAAGATATTTAATGAAGTTTAAATGATGGTGCTGAATTCAAGGGACATAAGATCTCTTAACTTCAGGTTGCAGTATGGTGAAAACATTGGTATGACCGTATGACACAATCAGAGTTGTAAGTATGATCCAACCAAATTAAGCTAGTTGAAATCCCATTGATCAAAATGGGAAAATTTTAAGTATGAAATGAATGGGTCTTGGGTGTTTAGCTTTGTTTGACTTGTGCAACCCAAATATTCAAATAAAGTTGAATCCAAAGACATGCAGGGCACAGCTTATCTTTAATTTCCTATCTTGATTGTGGAGAAAAAGTTGCATCTGTTTGGTTGTGACTGTTAAATCTTCATGATGCTTTAGGTGTCCATGGTCAGAGCTGAATATCTTTGATTTCTACACCCAGTGGTCTGCACTTTTAAGTATATATTGAATTATAGCTGAAGTTGGTACCTGACTTCAGAGAACCCAAAACTTATTTTGTGTTTCACCATGGCATACAATTCCATTTCAGCTGTTTTTAGATTTGAAAGAATGAAATCTGTTGGCATGAATAAGTGGATTTAAATGTAGTCAGCCTTATTTGCTGGAACTACACTAAAATATTTATAACAAGTGAATATAATGTTTCTTCATTCGCTTAGGGACCCTGCTAACAAACAATAGTATTTGGGATTCATGAGATTTAGAAAGCAGCTTTCCCACACTGAATTTTGTGCTCTGCATGCTATTTAGCTGCCAATCTGGCTAGTCCCTTGCATTTTTGACAGCTGAAAATAAATGCCTAATAAATACTTATGTGATCATTTGTGTTTCCAGGAAAAAGAAGGTGGTTATTATTTAAACTATATCTTGCACATTTGAAATATTTGTGTTGCGCCTACCCAACTGAAATAATGTTAAATCTCTCCTCCCACAGCCTCTGAAAATTTTACTAGATTGTCACTGCATCTTTGGATGAATCAGTAGGTCTCATCTGACATCTTAAAGATTGACAAATATTGGGAGTGTTATATTTATGGGATCCTTTCTCTGTGATTTAGTATGACAGCAAGTACTATGAAATCTAATTATTTTCTACTTTTTCAGTTCTCTGCTTCAACATCCCACATGTTTTCTTCTACTTGTGCTATGCTGAGTGTTCTGCAGTTTGTTAAACCATCACGGTCTCATTCTAACAATGTGCTCAAGTATTTGTTTTTATAGCAACAGCCTTTTAAAGAACAAGCAAAGCTGTTATTTTATATTTGAGGCCTGAGTCACCTCTGCTGTGATCATGAATATATTGAACATAATGCAGACAGCTGTTTTCTTCTGTTTGACAAGCAAAATGTTTCCATAAATTATTGGTTCTTTTTATGGCACACTAGTGACAAAATTAACCACAAGGACACATCATCCAACAAAGAAAGCATTCTTCTAAAGTTACTTTGCTGGCAAGAGCCATCTCAAGTGTGCTTATTGAACCCATACACAGGTTTGAAGGTAGCAGCTATTCTATTCATTTTTATTACAGTTTGCCAGCAGAGACCAGGTGTGATGCAGTTCAGTTTATTTCATTTGCAGGGCTATTGGATGAATCAGTAGGTAGATGTTTCATTTTTAAGGACAGTTTTTAAAGTTCGTAATACTATTATCTTCTAAACAACTTACTTTTCCAGAGAGAGAAGCTAAAGGGAGAAGAAATGTGTAAACATTAGTCATTTCAAACTTAAGCACTTGTGTGATTGTTTTGCTTCTGATTGTCACTTGTTTAGGTTGACATGCCAAAGGCTTAACCTTTAATGGTCCAATCCAGGCATCTCCAGCCTGAACTTAAGCTGAAGTATAACTGAAGTCAGAGGTCCCAATTCAGCATTATTCATAGGCAGCATTGACTGCTGTGTGCACCACTTCTACTGCTTACCATCTGGGGCTATGCGCAAAAACTACATTCCAGTTACCGGTTGTAGTTCCAGTTAGGTATTGGGTGGATGTGAAATCTTACCTGCAACTGAACATGAAAAATCTGAATGAGGTTGTACTGCATAGTTTTAGTTGCTAGATAGGGATATTGAATGTTGTGAATGATGCATGCAGTGCTTATTTGTGCCTCTTAGCTAGAGATATGAAGGAAAACTTGTAGCTGTATCCAAGCGGAAAGAGTTCAGGATTGTAACTAGCAAAGTCTATAAAATGTCCAACTGTAATTCCCAGAGATTGGCTGATTCTGTTCAAAATTCCGTTTCTCTTGTTTCTCCATGGAGAGAACAACTCTAACAGTTTTCAAGGTCAGGTTTAAAGAAGGCAATATGTGTGATGGTGCTCTAAAATTTAACTTCCCTCCTTAATTAGTCCTTCCACTGTATCTGAAGGCAAATGGCTTTGATAGCAATTTATGTTGGGGTGGAAGCCAATTTAGTCATACCTAGAGGAACCCCCTGATAACAACATGACTTCATTTAAATTTATTTCGATGGGCTTACTTAGATAGGACTTAAGAATTGATACCAGATTTCTGTTCGAGCATGTGCACTGACAGAAATGACTTCTATGTTCCCTAATTCTTGCAGCAGCCCCTGTAGCATCCAGATCCTGCAAAACTGCATGTAAGACAGATCCAACAGTCTCTTGATCCAACCCAAAAAACTTATTTATTTCTTAGTGATGTCTTCTGGGAAGAGCTACTGCTGTTCAGAGTTGTGACATATAATGGGATGCATTAAGAAGCTTGAACGCCATATTTACAAGCTCTTAAGTACCAATCAGCAACTCAAAACAATGAAGGAATTTGTTTTGCATTCATATAGGCTGACTTGTTTTGCATATAAGAATAACCATGGCTTAAACCTGTGTTTTATGCTTTAATGCTTTTGTAATTACTAAGGAAGTGGCAGAGTTCTTGATTAGGGCTGCATGGGAGTGTTTCAGTGGTTTGTAAAACAACCTGTGTCACACTAACCTGAAACACTGGTTTGCTGAGGGGAAGCAACCCACAGTTTTAACCCAACAACACACTGTGTTGGTTTGTGAACTGGAAGCAAAGCAGTAAAGGGGCAGGTGGCACTGCATTTGCTAGCTCTTTTGCAGCCTTAACAGCCACTTGGTTAATCCATGTCATCAGCACAGCTGGACTGGACCAATGCCTTAGTGGTGCAGAAGTATTAAACCGTGACATTATGCATGTTTGAAACTGATCAAACACAGACTGCAGATGAGATGAACCAGCATATGCTTTGGCAAGGTCAGACAGCTGCTTGATCTGAAACTGCTCCTTCACAGAGGATGCCATTGTGAGGCGTTCCATCCACTGCATTTGTTAATGATCACAGGGTGATCACTGGTTAGACCTCCACTAACCTGGCTACTAGTTAATGGTTTGGGGTTTTTTTTTTCCTCAGGAGCCCCACAAACACAGGCCACTCTTCCAGCAAGTTCACATTATCTTTCAAATGCAATGGCAAAAACAGGTGGACCACTTGTCAGCAAACTTGATTTGCTATTAATACATGTGATACAGCAGGTGGCCCACTTGGCAATAAAAGTTTATTTTAATGAGATTGGCATAAAAGTACTTATAAGAAATTGTAACTCTACTGTGGGATCCCAGGCATGAAACTCAGCCGTAAGTCAAGTTGAATTGGGTTTTAATTTTGAAGCCCTGTTAAACGTTAGCTATTTTTTAGCCAGAAAAAAACACAAATTATTGATCTGTGTAGTATTTATTGAAGTTAAACCCACATGATATCAGCACAACAATCCAAAGTAGTATGATTGTACATTTTTATAAATACAAATAAAAAGAAGCAAAATGCTACTAGCTGAAGCTAAACAAAAAGTAGATTAGGAAATCACATTGGAGAATAATTTGGTAAGTGAATGGTATGACATTCTTGGCTGGAAGGCTACAGTAGGTGAGTTCCATTTGACAGGTTGTGTATGACAATACAGATATGTAAGAAATTGCTATAACAGTTTTAACCCTTTGCAGCAGTTTGCATAGAAAAGTAACTAACTATCTGCTGTGCTATATGCTTTTATTAGCAATTAACAACCTGATTTGTGTGCTTAACAATGAGGTGCAAAGCAATACATGTATAGCTGTAATGCAAAATATATGGTGTGGTAAATAATACAAAACTTTTTTTAAAAAAAAGTACTGCACTTGAATAACTGAGTTGAGATAAAAGATTCAACATTTTTATTATAAATAAAGTACTATAAATGTGCTTCATATAAGGAATACAGTGTTTTCCTTTTGTAGCAAAGTACTTTTGTACCATTAAACCACATTTTATTTCTGTCAGGGCCAATGGAAATGTTCTTCCATGGCCTCCCAATTAAAATGAAATTATTTTAAATCAAAATGACATAATACTATCTAAGTGAAGTCTAATTAGATGTAGAACTAGTCTACATTCTGGAAAATCAACTTTTTTAACCTTCTTCACAAAGTCCCAGCCATAGGCAGGGTTATTCATGTTGCAGTAGGCAAGAACACAAAAATTTAACATCTAGTACACAAGCATGCAGTGTTTAACATGTAACACCATTTCATTATCATTCTGCATTCCCCATATCTACTCATCTATTCTCTATGGTATGTGCTTATTATTTAAACCATTATTGCAGACTCACTCCTTCCTCCACTTACTCTACACTAATTATCCTCACTTGTGTCATCTAGGTTCTGGTCAGTCAAACCTCCAGCATAAAAAAGCATTCGGGTAACGATGGAATTCCAGAGGGATGAAATGTAATGCTTTTCCTGTATTTTCACCCTCTGAGGAAGGTCTGGCCTTCAGCCCCCGTTTCATCCCACTGTTACAAATCTAACACTGTAAAACCATTCCAACAATTCCATCATAACGTTCATGTTTTAAATTATGTTATGATTGATTTAGCCTGGCAGTACATCTGTGGTTAGCCACTTTTTAGTTAACGAAAGTCAAATGATTCCTCCTTGCCCATATTAAGCACAATTAAGGCAAGCAGCTCTTTTGAGAGCAGAAAGCCATTTACAGAGTTAAATTTCACTTCAATCTCTCTTCCTTTTCCCATCTTGTTTTACTCTATTGCACATTCTCACTGTCATATCAGAATGCATTGTGGATACATTTGCAGTTGCCTTGGGGCCCAATAAATTGGCTAGCATTACTTGTTATGTTTTAATAGCACCTACAGCTTGCAAAGGCACTAGGTGATAAGTTCTGCACTGTGTGTGTGTTCAAAAAAATCATATTCACTTTAGCACTTGGCAGTTGTGAAAAGGATTATTCAAAATAGTAAGGCCCATGTAGTAATAATAAAAGGTTATGGCAAAGGTGATTTTTGTGTGTGTGGGCTGTACATTTCTACTGAATAACCACTCTCTATGCTAATTTGTATACCGAGCAAAAAATACGTGATTAAGGTGTTCTTTATCTTTTGCACACAAAGTGACTGCCTTTCACAAAGTGGCATAAGTTATAATTGGTCAAGACAATGGCTTTCAGTGTTTTCACTTTGAAAGAAAATGTTAGGTTTGAATGTGAAGATTTACAGATCATCGCTTTCTACCAATCCAGATTGCAGTGTCAGATGTCCTGGGTTGGCCTCTGGCTGAAATGCAGCTTTGATGTCTAGTCCTTGGTCAGAAAGTGCTGCATATCGACTCGCTGAGGGACGCACCTTCTTTGGCTTGGTGGTTTGGGGCTGTTGTTGCCACTGAGCTGCACAGAAAGGAAAGAGTTTGCTAATACAACACAGGAACTACACAGTCTTAACATATATTACGTGACTGGTACAATTTGTGGGCAGAATCCTGTTTATATCTGGCAGTACTGTGAATGAAGCTGAAAAAAGCACAGTATTGATCTGGATATGCATCTACATCACAGCTCTCATCTGGGCTTCCCTGGAATTTGTGGAAATGCATCAATGAGTTTGGATGTCACCATCACAAAAACATGGGCTAAAAATGGGTTAAAACCTTGAGTTCCAGGTTCGGACATCACAGCGGACAACCTGGGAGTGGGGCATTTTGGGGTTTTGGAATCTGGAAGGGCAAGCAGCTATGGGGCTTCTGTTCACCTCTGAGAACCCATGGATTATGCCCAAACTGAGCCAGATAGTCAAGCATCTCCTTTGAATGTAGTGAACAATGCACAGGGCAAGGAAGATTGCCAAACACCAGGTGGAAAGACCTCCTGCAAACAGCCATTCCTCCAGCAAGGCAGACCTGAATCCAACCTAGAATTTTAAACTATACATTTTCACCTATTCTGAGTGAATTCTTAAAGATCCTTGACTTGCTTTCATATTAACTTTCTTCAGCATAAGGCATACAACCTCCTTTAATGTTGTTAGCTTTGGTTAAAAGGAGTTCCCTTGGCAACATATCATAGGAAATTTTTGACCCAGCATGCTTGCTTTCCCATTTAATTTTAAAGAAGTGCTAGCAGAACATTCAAGCCTAGAAATAACTATCTTCTAGGCAGCTTGAAGGAAAGGCATCTTTCCTTCCCTCATAATGTGAACAATCCCAACTTCTAGTGTCACGGTAGTAACACATGGGTTATTCCACTCTTACTCCTTTTTTATGCCTTTATTTTCCCCTCTACTCTTCCTTGGTGAACATAGTAACAGCACAAATATTCATTTCCACCAATAAAGACATTAAGGTCTTTCAAAACCATCACCAGGAAGCAAATACAAGTTTGCAAGAAAGAGTGACTGCATCATTATAATAGCAAGTTTTGCTCACAAATTACTGTTTTTAATTAACAACTTAAGCATCCTTTATGCTAAAAATATACCGTGCAATTCTGTCATGAGGGAATGGGAATATCAACAGACTGGAAAAACTATGATAACTTCACACCTTTGGATCTAGGGAAAGTAGAACTAATGGATTGGAGTGCATGCTGATTTCCCCATGAAATACTGCAGGTGAGAACAAACATTTGGAACTCCTGGTTTTGGCTACCTGTGGACAGGTGCAAGGATTCTTATATCACACAGATAGGCCTGATCTAAAGTACAAGCTTGAGATAAATAGGGTTTAAATATTCTGTAAAGAGCAGCTATAAATTTGACCCAGTATGGAAACAACCCAAAGCATACATTACCATAAACATCCAGCCTTGCTGTGCAGGACACAATTCCAGCCTCATTTTTTGCTGACACCGTATACCAGCCAGCATCTTCCTTTGTAGCCCCCTGAACAAGCAGGCAGATGTAACCGTGATTATCCTGGTGCATGCTAAAAGGAGGATAAAAAGAAAAACAGTGGTAAAGCTGCACACATATAAGATGAGACACTGAAAAACCATGTGATGTAGTGGTTATAGTGTTGGACTGGGGTTTGGGAAAGTCAGGTTTTAGTCTCCACTCAGTCATGAAGCTCACTGGGTGACTCTAGGCCAGGCGTTGATGCTCACCCTGATCTTCTTTACAGGGTAGTTGTGAAGACAAAATGGAGAAGAGGAGAAGGATCATGCTTACTACTTTGTGCTCCTTAGAGAAAAGCTATGTAATTCAAACATACATTTTCAGTTGATCCATATGTTCAGATTTTGAATGAGGAAACAAAGGCTACAGTTTCTAGACTTAAAAGGTTTTCTGCTTTGACTTCTGTAATTCCCAGTGAGGTTATATGCTTTAAATAAACCATAGCTAGTTTCACATTGTCACTTGATTCAGTATAATGTTTTTGTGTGTGGAAACCTTATAGAGGTAGGCCTGGAGATAATTAATTTGCATTAATTAACAAAACAGTATTCACCAGAGACATTCAGGAATTAACATTAAATGAGACTAACCTCACTCTGTCAGTATTGTATGTGAGCGACTCATTCTCTTTTTTCCAGAAGATCTGAGGGTGCGGCACCCCTGAAACCCTGCATTCCAGTCGCACAGGATAACCCTCAGCTACTCCTGTGTTTTGCAGTTTTTCTATAAATACAGGTGGCTTGTGTGCTTCCTTAGCTGTAAGAAAGAGAAATAACCCTTTCCTCTTTTTGCACCAATAAAAGATTTAATATTTATTTGTCCATATCACCAGGAGCCCATGGCATAAGACAGCATGGGGAAAGCTGGACTTTTCTTCATTTTCTGCTGCCCCTGTCCCAAAAGGGCAATGCTGAAAGAACCCCACATGATTATAACTTACAGGGAATTCAGACCTGTTGGAATAAATGGCTCCTTCTTGTGTAACCACACATGGAGCAGTTACCTGCGACAATCAGTTCCAGGCTGAAAGTGTTCTGACCAGCTCGATTGGTGGCAATGCACGTATAGATGCCAGCATCCTTTGCAGTGACAGGCTCTATGATCAGGGAGTGTACACCATTTTCACGTACAAGCATTTTGTGTGAGCTATCGGAACGTATTACTCTTCCATTAACTTGCCAGTTGATATCTGGAGTTGGCAAGCCACTGACCTAAACAGGACACAGTAGAATTCAATGAGACAAAAAGCATGCAGAGGACATAGCAGAGATGCTGTGCATCAAAAAGCAAAAATGAATCAAAGCCTGGCACCTCTTTTCTTTCTGTTCTCCAAAGCAACTGCATGAAGCCAAGCATGCCAAAACTGTGCCCTCATCCCACTGCAGCCAGCACAGGAAGAAGCACGGGCTGCATCTTCAAGGACACAGCCTTGGAGAGAAGGAACGGGAGCATGAGAGGGGTGGGAATGGGAGGGACTGAAATGGTGACTCTTCCCCACCCCCCATGCTGCTTCTTCCAGACGGCTGAAAATGGCTCTCGAGATGAAAGGGCAGCTTGCTCCATGGATCGGACACACAGGCAGCTCCAGCTTGGGTGACTTATGTGCCCCAAGCACGGAGGGTGCTGAATTGGTGCAGTCAGCAATGCACCTAAAGGTGCAGTCAGCAATGCTAAATACGGAAGCCGAATGGCAAATGGGGCTGGTTAGAAATCAATCAATCAATCAATCAATCAATCAATGTATTAGGAGGAGTTCAGACTGAGTATCATTTATGATTTAAAATAGCCATTTCAGTTATATCCCATTCCAGAACTGATTTCTACATTGATTCACTATCAGCCAAGTGAATTACAGCCCAGTTGCAGAATTTGTTTGATTGCCTATGAGGCTTGTGGAATGATCTCATTGCCATGTTAACACAATGTCACAAAGTATGGCACTTTGCCAGCTTTGTAGTTGAAGAGTTTGTGAGGTTTGCAAGGAAGCATCAGAGTAAGCTGTCAAACGATATTCAGCCATTTGTTTACGTTTTATTTTTAGTCTGCCCACTCCAAATGTACTGCAAATAAACTAAATCCATTAATCAAAAATGCATTCTTAAATGCATGCAAAATGATTGCAATTATTGGGCATGTCAAATAGTATAAAGGGTGACAGTCTGGTGATAGCAATCCCCAAGGAAAGAATGTTTGCTTAATATTTGTTGAACAGGACAAACATAAATTATTCTGTATGCGTTGAACAGTGATGTGACATTAGTACACATACATAGCAAATGTCCCTATTTTAAAACCAAGCAGAATGTAGAAAGATGGAAAACAAACAATATTTCTTGCACAATGACATGATCCCAACACACTGCTTTGGTTCACACATTGTCAACCATGTTTTAGTTTCATGTGCATGAACCTCAGAGAGAAGAAGTGAAACTTGAAATCTTAAGGACATGCCTCTCTTTTCTTTCTCCCATGGAGGTGGGAGGAAGAACAAACATGATTCAGTTCCATATTCACAGTGAGTGGAAATGAGGTACCACAGTTTAAACTAAACTCTAATCAACTGTTAAGCAAGTTAGCTTCAAACTATAGGTTATAAATCAATCTTGTTTAACAAACTAAAGTTTATTTTAAATCAAGATTCCTGGTACACAGGTGACAACAATGAATCAGGGAAAGTGAAACTGAATTATATCTTATTCCTCCCTCTTGGATATGCAGAAGGGGAAGAGAGTGAGTCCAGCATGCATGCATATAAGAAATCATGGTTTAGTGTTATGTGCAAATATTTGTTTTTTATGTCCCTTGTATTTCCTGGAATGTATTTTTGCACAACTTTTAAAAACAGAAGACCAACATCCAGTATAATACTTAAGACTGAATGAAGGCATGAGAGCCAAACACTTCAAAATATTTTAAAATTTTCCTACCTATTTAATATATCAAATAGAAATAGGACAAATACACCTGATCTCTCTTGCACATTTTCTTTCCCCCTCCCTACTGCTTTTATTCTCACAGCAATTTCTGCACTAATTTACAGGGCAACCCTCTATGTGTTCACGCAGAATTAAGCCCTACGGGGTACATGTCTCATGGTGGACAACCATATAGAGCAGCCTTAAAACACCATTTTGGAAATTCAGTGCCACCAGAGGGAGCACATTCCCCCACCTCTAATTCCTATTAAGAGAAAAAAAAGTTAACATTGTTAACTTTTACAATGTTAATGTTCATGTATTACATATCTCTGGGTTAAAAACTTTCAGTGTCTGACTTAAAATGCAGAACTGAAACTCAGTTGTACATTTATGAAGTGATCTGATCAACAATCAGTTCAAAAATAAATATATCTTCTATTCAAAAATTAAAGTACAGCTTTAAAACTTACCTTGCAGTCCATTCTGCAAAGTTTTCCCTCTTGAACTATCAGGTCTCCTGGGGCCTGCAGGAAATGAGGTCGGAAGAAGCGTTCCTGGATTGGCTCATTTTCATCTCCACTATCCCTTGACCGAGACCGAGGTCTGCAGAGAATATGCAAAATAAATAAGCCCAGCTAAACCCAATGAGGCTTACTTCTGACCACACATGTATAGAACTGCAGTGCGAATTCTCCTAAGACTCTGCCATGCACTAGTTCTGTACAATGTTCCTAGACAGTCCAGTGGCAAACTATTTCCAGCTTAGCAGCACTGATCTATAGCAGCATACCAGCACTGTCCCAGATATGCTCATAATGCTAGCCCAACATCACTTTTTGAGAGATTGCACAGATGCAATACTCCTTCAGCCTATCCTGATTACTTACCAATGCTTACAGGACTGATCTAGAAGTAGTTATTTATTTTACAACCGCCTCCAAGAGCCACTAGAGGGAGCAGTGATAGAGTGCCTGCTTTGTACACAGAAGCTCCTAGGTCCAATGTCTGGCATCTTCAAGTAGGGAACAACTCTTGCCTGAAAACTACTGGAGAACTGCTGCCAGTCAGTGTTGACAATACTGGGCCTTGGTTCAAGGACCAAGATGGACCAACAGAGTTTCCTCTATTCTGAGATTTACTTCTAGATGTGGCCCAAGTACTTCTGAAGACATGATGAGTGGGCCACCTCAGATGGTGGAACAATTCTTATCATCTCCTCTCATCTACAGAAGTGGTGGGATGATATATGGATATGTCAAATATTAAGTACATTGCATGCAGCCTAGCTTCACTTTCTATTTTACTAGCAAGTGTGCACTGGGACTACTGCATTTGGCAACATGTTTCCCCAAATTTTCCTCCAGCCTGTGAAGGGGCTAAAAAAGGGGGAAACCCTCCACTTGCACCAGGGGAGATTCTACATATGCGGAAGTGTGTGTGAAGGGTCTCTTCAATACTGTCATTGTACACAAAATTGCTATTCTAAATCATAAATCTAAGCTCTTCACAAAAGGATGAATGTTCATGACCAAGAAAACAGACTGGATGTTGAACAATGCTCTCTGATAATTCACCTCGGAGCACTGGATGTCTCCTGAACTTTATTTTCAGACTAGGCTTTGAATGGGATGAAGCTGGTGGGATTTACTTGGATGCCCTAAGAAAATTCTTGAGTTTTGCCAAAAGTGCAGTGTGGCAGGGATAAGAGGGTTCGAACTACAATACATTACTTTCATTTGCAATGAAATGAGAAGGGAGAATGCAAAAGGCAACCTTTACATGCTTACTAGAGTAGCCATTTAAATGAAGGTTTGCTTTTTATGAGTCACGTATGGTTTGCTATGCTAGACACATATTCAAAAATGAAACTTGACAGAAGCTTGAAAATATATGAAGTGCCAGATGTTAGCAATACCATCATGTTTCAGTTAATTTTGGATGTATTCCACACACACACACCCCACAAGATAGTCAGTAAGGCCTACCAAGTGATCTCTCCCTAGACCAAAATGTATCACACAGTCGGGGGTGGGGGTGGGGTGGGGGGAGAAACATATACTGGGCAGATTCTGCCAAAGCCCAGTTGCTCTTGGCAGGGGAGATTTAAGAGAATGCACAGCTCTTCACCCAAACTGGACAAAATTCTTGTTTTGTTTTGATCACACTATGCTCAGTGCTACTTAGATAGGAGTCAAGATGGAAAAATACTATTATTTCTCATGACCTTTGAAAATTGGCAGCATGGACACCCATTTACTTGCCTCTAAAATGCAAAGGTGCTATTATGGGAAAGACTTGAAGGGAAACAAATGTCTGTTTTCTTATGGCAGAATTCTAAATCGGGGGTTTTGTCAAGAGATAGATTTATCACATTTCTATCCTGCCCAATAACCAAGGTTCTCTGAGCAGTTCACAAAAACAGAAGACTTTTACTTTGGCTATATGCAGGTGGCCGGGGGGCGGGGGGAGGCTGCACCAGAATGTTTTGCCTTAATGAACTCCAGGACAAGGCTGCTAAGAGTTGCTTTACCCTTTTCATAGCAACTGAATTCTATCATTATTTGTCCTGTTAAGCATGAAAAGTGTCTAGGGATTGTGCATGTTATCTCTGTTTATCACAGCAAGTCCCAGTGGCTGCATATAAACCTTAAGATCCCTTACAAAATGGTTTTAGCAATACAGGAGTTTTAACCCTTTGAGCTATAAATGCCTATGGACTTGAAAATCTAAAGGTCTGCATTCTCCCATAGAAAAATCTGTCTACCAACTGAGTTATTTTTTCAAGCCCTTCTGTGGATGCTCTCACCTTTTTAGGTTAGGTGCTACCAGAGAGGAATTCTTTTCAGAGGTACCCCACTATCTGTAATACTCCCCTCCTAGACATACATGCTTGGGGAATCATTACCAGCATTCGGATGCCAAGCCATGTTTTCCTGCACCTTAAATGGCTGGCTTGCCATAATGTCAGAGAGCTATTTAAATGCCTTCTGCTATTAGTGATGCTTTACCTTATTCTTGCACTGCTAGGATTATCCTTTTTATCTGCTGCTTTTCAAAAACAGCTGGCTTATTTGTGTAAGTTTGTTACTGTAAACTACCTTAAGACCACTGGAAAGTAGAAGAGATAGAAATCTCTTGAACAAATAAATAAATAATAAAAGCCACAAATAATGTAAAAGTTGAAAAGCACCATTATCATCAGTATCAAATAATTAATCTTAATCTCTATAAGAGCTTCCAGTCATTGAAGACATTGTTAACATATGGACATAAAGGTCATGAAGGTTCAGACCAGTAATCTGATCTGCAATAGCTTTCTATTATTACAATGGTTAACCAGATCTAAGGGCACTGATCTACATTTTATATGTCTATATCAACCTGGTGTCCTACAGATGTCTTGGAATTCAACTACCATCAGCCGTAGTCAGCATGGTCAATGATCAGGAAAGCTAGGCGTGATATCCAAAAGCAAATGGATGGCACTGGGTTTGGAAAGGTTGATCTATATATTATTATGTTACCACACTAGCAATAAGGTTAATGATGTGAGATTGATGTTCTGGGCATTATATGAACAGAAGTGAACTTGCCAATCATCAAGCTTTCTATGAAGTTCTTCCTGCTCACTGTGTCAAAAATCCTGCCAATCAAAGCAAGATTTATGGGAATAAACAGGTAAGTATTTGTATCAGTATTGAAGCCATAAAATTCTTCTGTGTCTAGAAATCTTGAGTACAGTTCATGTGGCTATGATACCTTCTGACATGGGGTTGGTTAGGAGGTGTCCGGGGACTGCGTCCTCTCTGATTGACTGCTTGCACCATCAGCCTTCCTGTACAGCTTACTCTGCCCTAGGAATCATTGGAAAGAAAAAAATTGAGAAACTATACATTTGAAAAAATATGCAAAACAGAATTATTAACATACATTAAGACTATCCATGATCACTGCCACCAAATGTTTTTAAAAGCAAAACACTCATGAGATGATCCTTATTTCAGTTATTATATTTCACACTGCAGTTATATTTTGCCTTTTATCCTCTTGTGAGGAATGCAAAGTTACTTACATAGCTCCATTTTATCCTCATAACAACAAGCCTGTGAGGTATATTAGGCCAAGTCACCCAATGAGCCTCATGCCTGAGTAGGGACATGAACCCAGGTCTTCCAGCTCCCCAGTCCAACACTCTAACCATCACACTGCACTGGCTTTGGTGTTCAGCAGCCATCAATCACATCTTCAAGGTCTGATGGACTCTTGAGCGAGATGGTTACAGCAGAAATCATCTCACTACCACCACAGAAACCATCCATTCACTTGCCTTCTCTTTCTCAACCTGATCTATGCTCCCATCCAGAGGGAATGGGTAAGCTGAACAGCAACTGCTGCTCCTTGTTCATGTTCCATTGTTTCTGAGGCAGAGTGAATAAGACTACAACAGCATGGAAGAGCTTCTGTCTGTCAGAGATCAACCTCCTAGGTCATGGGCGTAGGCAAGGGCCTGATGGCAATAATCCTTGATATCCAGTTTGGCAACTGTAGCAATGCTCCATCACAAACATAGACCATCTCAGCTCTGGAGGTAATCACTAGCAACCAGAAACAAGCACTGTATCCCCACAGGTGGAAACGGCAGGGAATTTCCTCAGCACTGTTAAGGTGATGAGAGGTGAAGTGAATGGACCAATTAAGTAATGTCCAATATTCCCACCATCTCTCTCTCAAGCAGTGGGAGCCACTTGGAGGGTGGAATCAGGATCTTCCTGAAAGGGAGGGAAGGAGGGAATGTTTTGATTTGGATTCAACTCCTCACATGGGCAGATCTCAAAGGGATCGTTACTTTGACTTATGCTGTTTCCAACCTGTACAGCTCAGATAAAGGAATGTACTTCAGTCTGCTGGAGACAGAAAATGGAAGGGAGAGATGCTCTCAACACACAAATCTCTACTTTGGGGAGAGAGAATAAGAGTAAAGGGCCAGCAGCAGTCACATGAGAAATACACTCCCACAATGCTGCAGAACTTTTGAAGGAACAGGCATCATTTCCAGGTGAGGACCTGACATTCCAAGGTGAAATCTGGAGGAAAATTACATGCGTTTAAATCCCACTGAAATATAGCTGGATTCAAGTATACTTAATTGGATGCTGGCCTGGAGCCTGTGTTTGCAAAATATATTAGGAATAACACTGATGCTGTAGAACTGTTTAGTAGATATACCTTGACAGAAAATGCAAGCTCAGTGATGTTGCAATCCCAATGTCAGAAAAACTCAATTTAAAGCTTTACGGATGAGGTCTCCCTAAATAAGCTCTTGGAAGCTGAACACTCATTTCATCCCACATGTGGCTAGAACGGCAGAGCACTTGTGAAACCATTTTTGGCATAACAGCATCTTTAGCCTTATGACTTCACAAGCATGAGCAACAAAGGGCAACTAGTGCACACAGAACTGTTTGCAAGCTGAAATTACATTCGTGTGAATTGGTCACTCAATAAGAGCATTTCGGCTACTGGGGTGATAGCAATGATGGTTACTCAAGACCCAAGTAGACACCCGAGTTTCCAATGCCCTGGCCAATTTCAACTGCCAAACACCCACGTTAAGGTAAATTACTGTCCATGCCCTAGAAATGGGTTCTGAAATAAAGGTTTTTTTTTTTTTTTAAACTTTGTTCAGGAACATCTGAACTGTTTCTGTACTCAATAGAAAACAAGAGCAATTAACAACAACACTTTCATCATCTCTATAAATTATCCCTAAGTAGCAAAAGACTCACTTCTTCTAAATTTACTATCTTCACTAAGGAAGTAAATAAAAATTATTTTCTGGGCAATTAAGATCAGTCAGGGTTAGGGTTAGAAGAATAGTGGGATCAAAATGGTGGTTGCTAGCTCCACTCTCAGCCCAGAACACCCACTGGCTGTTTGCACTATTGTGGGGCCTTGAATAGGCCATTCTGATCAGGAGGACCAAGCCTATGCCCATGCCATAGGCATGCACATAGGTTCCTCCAGATCTGAAAAAGGAGTGAAGCCTTCTCATGAGCAGCTGTTCCCTGCTAAATTCAACAGCACTGATGCACATTTATTTGACTGGGATGCACAAGGCAGCATTCAATTAATCTGCCCCATCCATGATCAAGGTACATTGCCAGGCTTTGAGCAGTTGCCTGAACTATGCTAAAGCTTATTAGCCAGGGGTGAGTCACTTGGGGCTGCTCATCCATATTTAAAGGTATGTACTTGATGGGCTTCTGACATCCTACTTGTCCTGGCTTAGCCTTTTTAGATTCTACTACTGTAGCAATTTACCTGGAGGAGCCTGATTCTGCAAAGGTACTAAGACTTCAGATCTAAATCATATTCACGCTCAGGATTTTCATATATTTTACCATGTGGAGTCAAATACACACAGCTAGCAAAACTAAACATACATACGTTGAAAATACCCTTTTATTGTTACTATTACATAAATTAGGTTTGGCAGCTCATTATCAACCTACTTGAATTTTCATTCAAACACTCGCTTTTATTTGTATTATACCGGGGCACATCTGTGCTAGCTTTAAGGCCTATGGACATATTTCCATTACTGTTTAGGATTACAAAGAATGCTTATTTCCATTTGATGATGATGTAACACAGTTGGAATCTACATCTTCTGGTGTGAAAAGCATATGCATTAATCCACTGCTGCCCTTAGTCTCCAATGTACTCTTAAAAGCACAGTGGAACTACATTAATGCCAGGAGACATAATTGTGTTTATTTGAAAATGATACAGTGACGAGAGAATATAAATGACTGGATGAACCAAGCAATGCTCTTCTTTGTTGCATAATAAAATAAACTTCCAGATTCATATCCCGAGAATTCTTTGGTTATTCTCCAACAGAAATACATAAATCAAGCAGCCTTTGTCCATTAGCCAAAGAAGAATTAAAGCAGAACGTTTTTAATTTAAATTGTAACAAAGCTTTACTTTCAGTGATTGCTTGAAGCAATGAGTGCTGGCAATGGTTGGTAGAGAACATGCTTTGCATGCAGAAGGTCTCACTTTCAATCTCTGACCCTGCCAGGCAAGGTTGGAAAACTTCTTGACCCAAACCATGAAGAGCTATTGCTAGTCAAATGTCAACTGTGCTGGGTTTGATGGTGACCTAGTGGGTGAGTTTGCACATCACAACAACCCACTCTGGCAATAAGCCAAGGTACTACGATTGTTTCACAAACAATCCATGGAATGGCAAGCAGACAATTTGTTTGGCAAGGGGAATTTCCCCCCTCCTTCCCTCTTGGTCTTCCCATCGTTATCCCAGAGGACAACACAGCAGGGCCAACTTGTCTCTCTCTCGCCATGGTGACTGTGGGGTGTTTTCAGCTAAACATAGCTTTTTGACCCTGAGATACAATCTCTGGCTTGACAGCTGGCTTTCACAATCCCTGCAATGATGGCCCTTTCAAAGTGTCTAACTGTCCACAGTTGTAAACCACTTTTTAAAATTAAACCCTCTAATGTAATTCAGTATTTGCGCAGCATTTGCAAATACTGACACCCTCTAATGTGTTACGGATGTCCGTCCATCCATCCATCCATCCATCTGTTCATCCATCCAATTCTTTTGCAAGTGTACACCTGTACATTTAAAAGAGTCCAAACATGAGCTGTTGCCAGGGTAATGACCAGGGAATTATCTGCCATTGCTGAGAATTGCCTGACCATCTTGCAATCCTGGATATTGACCCAAATTACCACTGTTCCACTTGGTTTGGTCTGACAACTGACAAAGGTAAGCTATCAAGTCATACCAAAGGCACAGATTAATTGTGCCTACAAGAAGAAAGGGGTGAAATGGGAGGCCCTGCAAAGAGATGAGGGACAACTACCTGTTCCACGCAGGGACAGGTGTGCAGCTAGCAAGTAAATCACACAGAAATGCAGCAGGCCACTTCCTCTGCAGCCAGATACTGGGGGCTCACTGGAGTCTTTATTTAATTTGTGGGCCTTTCCAGAGATTTATACTAAACTACAATTGGCTTACATGCGCCTCTGCCCCTCTCTTCCCCAGGTGAAACTCTAATGACAAGATGGAAAACTGCTACTTTAAAATTTACTAGAGATCCTTATTATGACTGAACCTGAAGGAACTCTGGGCAGTCTGAACTATGGTTATTGAATCAGCCAAAAACTGAAGCCAGTTTATTCTGGGCTTGTTTGAATGAACCACAGTTTAACCAAAGAGGCCAGGCTCAATACTTTAAGGCCTTGGTTTGCTTACTAATCATAACTTAACCAAACCAAACCAAAGTGTTCCCAAGTTCAGATATATCCCAGTACTCTGGTGAGTTTAAAAGCAGAAGCAAAAATGTCTTATCTCCTTCTCATGGCCAGGCCAGAAAGGAAGGAACAGGCTTTCTCATGAGCCAGAGGCTTGCCCACATAATGCTAAAACACAGCTGAGCATTGCAGATAAGCTGGCACCATTTCTTGCAGTACAGGAGTGACCTCTGGCTTAGTTTGGGAATTACTCAAAATTTTGGGAATTAAGTCTATACAGGAAATTGTCTCTGATCATACCATTAATTGTATGTAGAAAGGGAATGTTTAGCATGTCATTTCCTCATATTTGTTCTATCAAGTCAAGTTCCATACATTTTACACAAGCTCGCAAGAGAAAGCATTGACAAGCCTGGAGCTTTGCAGAAATGGAACCATTATGGTTATGTAACCTAGCAACATTCATAACAGACCACAACACTCTTACAAAGGATAAGCTGTGTCTTAGCGAAAGAGTTCATTATTTTTAAATGCAACACAACTTGCCATTCTTGGTTTGGAAATATTTGAAGCTACAAGCCAGTGTTTCCTTCAGTAGACTATTATATTGGGGGGTTTTTTAGGTTACAGAAATGGATGGGTGAAGAGTGGATGTGAAGCCAGAGAGCCAAATGTGGACAGGAACACTTTTTTCTCTTTTTTCTGCTTTCCTCCTTTCTCTTTTTCTCCTACAGTCTTCTCTTCCTTCCTCTCTTCTCAATGGGTTACTTCGAGGACAAATCACTCTTGTCAGAGGGTGGAACAGGTGGCTTGCAGAGAGTTTTTGGAATGCCGGGGCACCAGTTGCTCACCCCTGCCCTACCCTATTAGACAAGTAAAGATTTCTGCCTCTGCATAACCTATGCTCTATGGGTTTCTTTTCTTCTGGGAGATTATATTTCACAATTCATATCATTGGACCAGAAGTGAGCTGCATACAAACAAGCTAAATGCAACCCTTGCCACACTCTGAAATGTTAGAATTGCATTCCCACTCCACCCTTTAATTTATTTTTGCCACTGCAGAATAGGGTGCCATGGGGCAAAGCTGTTAATGCTTTCCAGGGAAAGTGTGGTCTACAAATAAGCCCTCTTCCAAAATTCTGAGGTTTCCCATTTCTGTTTTGGCACTCTTAGCCCAGGGCTTTTTTTTTTTTTTTTTTTGTCATAGAACGCACCAGAACGGTCTTCTGGTACTGTTTTTTGACAGATTTTTTCATGTGATTGTGAATCGCCCTGTCGGGCGTAGCAGGTCGTCAGCAAAAAGCATTAAAATAGTGCCTGCGGGCTGCGTGTGTGTCCGCGCTGCTTGTGAGGGGGCTGCTCGGCTCAGAACGCTGCTCAGCTTGGGATCGGTTGTGTGGTCGCGCGCTGAGTGCTTACTGCCGGCGGCGACCATTATGTTTATGTGTGTGTAGAGTGACTGGCTATGTGCAAAAAGTAAATAAGTTCTTTATTTCAAAAAAAGTAGGTGAATTGAACATCTTTTTTAGTGTAAAAGTGTGACCCCAAGAGGTGAGTTCCGGCACCTTTTATTTTACAAAAAAAGCACTGTCTTAGCCTATATGGAAGAGCACGCCCTGACTTGAGATTTTGATGTTATTACTTTACTGAAGTAAACAAGAATAATAATGGTAAATAAGAACAGCCTACATTAAAGTATTCACCTTGGTTAGCATCCAAGACGTGCTGATTTAGAGTACAACCTATCGCAAAATGATACGGCTTATTCTGCTGCCCTGTACTAAGTTCTTCTGTCCCCTCTGTGCTCACCACATGTGCCATCCTCCACATAATCTAGTGTATCTTCACTCCATATCAGTGGCTGCCCTGATGGGGTGGAACATGCCATAAAGACACCGAACATGCCTTAAATTCTACTATGGGCTTCTAGAGAACTCAACATGGAGGTGTCAGTTTTGCGAGGAGTCCAGTTTTCTCATAATATATAATTCCACACTAAGGTGACCGGGAATAAGATTAGTAAGAATGGCTGGCATAGTTGGGTGAGGATGCATTTTCCATATGTGGCCTGCCCAGCTTGCCTAAATACACCAGCATAAGAATAGCTGCTCAGAAGCCTTTAATCATCTCCCAATGGCAATGTGTTCTCAGCCTGGCAACATGGACTGGTCCCGCCCTACTGGTATGAAATGAAAAGAGAAGCCTTAAGTATTATTTGCTCAAAAATGACATCATCCATCAATTAAGTTACTCAAAAGTCAGATTGCAAGTGCCTACAAAGATCTGTGCCCAAAAGCATGCTTATTCTGGAGCCAAGTTCTTGTTTACCTGTGGGTTGGCAGCCATGATGGTATAATTCCCATCATCATCCAGGGTGGAGGATGAGGTGTGGAGAGAGCAGGTTCCATCTGGTTCTCTTTGCATCCTGTAGTGTTCACTCCTCTTAGAGATTTGCTTTCCATCTTTGAACCAATAGATCTATATCCCAAAATAAAATGTAAGCACTAAAGAAAGTAGGTATCATTAATATTTGCAAGCTAAGTGTGAATATATATCGGCTGTTGACAATAGGACAGTGATGCCAAGAACAAAAGTGCACGAAGATATGAGCACAGGTTTAGGGCTTCAGTTCTAACCTTCGGAAAATAAAAGTGGAATTGTGGATAAACACCTGCTTTTCCTTTTTATTTCTTATTCTATAGTAAGCACTAGGCAACCTTGTGCATGGTTATGTTTGAGAGGGGGATCAAAATAAGCCACAGTGGTTTCCATTCCTGCCAATGAGGTATTGTGAGCAGTTGAGCGCCTTATGTTCAACACCTTTGCATGGTGTCATGCAATCAATGACTGTATACGGAATGCATTTGCTGGTGATGAGAGAATCATTCTGGCAGACCATGAACTTGACTTACACAAGTTCAAGAGACCATCAGAACATACTGCACACATATAGGCTTATCTATGTAACCTGGGAGCCTACATTTTCTATGATTCCCAAAAGTGTGAAGGTTTGTATGTGCTCAGGCCTTGTTCCAACAATCTACACAGTTCATGTCGGCTGGGGAGGTGGCACAGGGCGTGGTGCCTCAGTCCCACTCCTCCTTGGTGAATGTTCACTATATCAGCCCTGGTCACAGGGCTCAGGTAATGCTGTAGTGATCAGAAACCAATGGTGGAAACTCAGATGCATTTTGTTGAAATATTGTTTGTTACTCAGAAAAACTACGCTGCTCTGCCAACAGGCTTCTGTCCGGTTAGGTTAAATTGGAAAGCTTCCATTACGATGAGTGCTACACATTCAGACTTTAGCTCTCAGTGAATGTTCCTTCCTGTCCTTCTCTGTTATGGTTTCCTTACCAAATATTTCTGTCCTCATTTTGTTTGCACTGAAACTAACATCTGCGCATTAGTTTCTTAGTGTATAATATATTTATTGCTTGTAATTATGTTGAACCGTTACCAATAACTGTGAAAAACAAAGAAAAGGCTGCTTTCATTTAGAAAGGACTGGACAGGGCTTGAAAACAAGTTTTCCCCCCTTATCCACTATATATACAAAGTTATATTTGTTTGAATTCTGGACCAATCCTAAAACTTGTAGCGTTACCAAGTATAAATAATTAGAGAGAGATATAACTAACTCCTTCAACAATTCCCAGTCATAGAACATGATGTCATACGTACCCTGCAAAGGACAGCAATAGCACAGATGTTTAGAATTTGGGTTGTTAATCACTGGTAAAAAATGATTTTCCATCCTATCAGATTCACGGAACCTGGTTGTACAAACTGACTTGACAAACCAAGCAATGCTCCTGTACAGCATGAGTTGCTGCTCTGACTGACTAAGCACCTGAATGAAGTCACAGGTCTAATCTTAAGTGGTTTGTGTGTCATTTGTCTGCAGATGAAAAGGCTGTGCAGGGAAACCTCACAGGACAATCTTTAGTTCTTTGGAGGACTAAGTGTGGAAGATTTTGAACAGTGGAAAAACAAGTAATGAGTAAGACGATTCAATTATTCTCAAGATACCTGGAATCCTCAACCAAATAGGTTTAAGGCAATCAGCCACTCTTTAGGACTGTTAATGCATAATTACATTTCCAAGCAAAAAGTAAAATTTCGGGGATGACCCAAAGCTCCTGCCAGATTAACTCTTGGTTAATCCTACCAAGTCCTTCAGCTTTCATGGTGTTTCATCATCCCTTCTTTGCTACTTAGATGCACAAAATAAGGGTACATCTTTAAATTCTAGCAACATCTATTCAAGAAATATTTATTAGGATACCCATACCCATACAAGGATCACTGGTCTTGACAAAAGCTGCATGCCAGTGCATTCCCCTCCCCACATTATTTAATTTTCCCCCATAGTCAGTTATTCCTTTTCCTAATGAATGTATGTGCAGGATTGCAAAACACCTATGATGCCAACAAAAGCCTTGTTAATATGTTCTCATATGCTGACACAACTTTTATGTTTCTAATAAAACATTATGTTATCATTTATAAACCTCTAGGTCTTAACTAAGGCATAACTGCTAAAATAAGTTTGAACTTGCACACTTCACAGAAGTCATAATATTACCTGACAGATGTTGGTCTTGTAAGAGCCAGTAATTATTTTATAACACATTTCTTTCATTACCGAATCAGGCAGCTTGCCAAGAATTTGGCAATCACATATGCATTAAGCTGCGTATACCTGGTGGCCTCAATTAACATGACTATAAAGCAGCACGCTGCTTCCAAGAGTGGCTTCTTAAATTTTAATTCTGTTGTGTAATAATTAATATGCAATTGTTAATTCTTCTCCCTTTGCCCAAAACTGTATATGTTCAAAACCCCATGTACCTGCCATGTGCTACTCTCCCATCTAATTTTAAGAATTAAAAAATTTCTAAAAACCTGTATTAACTGCACACAACTTAACAGAGTTTAAGAGAATTTGGAGAAAACACGGATTGTCACTTTATGATATAGAAAACTGAATTCCAAAATTCTGAGAAGTATGATTTTCCAAGTCTAAAGTTTCACCTTTTGTGATGGATTTCCCTTTGTGTATATGCATCTAGAGGCATGAGAATATTAAACTTTTAATAATAAGACTTGAATCACAGTGTTAACAATGTGACTTGCAACTTAATATTAAATTCTGAATTTTTCAAAATTGAAACATGGGTATCAAATCTGAAACTATGAAAAACTGTACATTTTTGTCAATATCCTGGATATGGACTTTGATCCCATGGGTGAACAGATCACTTGGGCTGAATTCTGTTCATGGCACCTGTCAGCGTATGTGGGGTGGTTGCTTTCCCTGAATCTCCCTTAACCCTGAAGCCTCAGGTGTCCCTGAAAATGTGTTCCCAAGATCTGGGGGGGGGGGGGCTCTATGAGGAGTGGGGCTACAAGGAGGAGAACTTGACAAAAATTGCCCTCCCTGCTGAGCAGGTTCCTTCCGTGCACAGATACCTTTGCTAGGATTCAAGTGCAATTACATTTCACTGTATAATTAGAAGTGTAATGATCACGATAAAATGAAGTGCTTGCCTTATGTGATTGTGTCATGCATTCAGTTCAAGGTCAATGGGTCTTGAAGAATTTTGAAAATTTTCTCCTTTTTCTGTTTTGAGGTAAACTGCTTTGATCTTTGATTCCTTACTCCATTCTGTAATATGTCTTTTCTTCTAGAATGATGTATGAATGGTCAATTCTTCACAAGGGAAATAGGGAATTTAGAATGCTACAAGTCCCTCAGTATTATCCATGTATCACTGGAATACATGCAATCACTTTCTGAAATGATTTCATGAGTGTAGACTTGTGAGGAAAAGGTCTTGCATCAGAACTGGTTATTTCCACGTTATCCTGAGCTTAATCTGGCAGCAAGACATGACAAGAACTGGGGATGTTGTTAAGTGATTCATTAGGAGTAACATGGTCATTATTTTGCACAGTGACATACGAGCAAAGGGTAAAACCAAGCAATTACAGGAACAAGGAAATTAAAGTAAGCATGGTGAAGTTACTCAGTTGGAATTTAAGACATGGATGTTGAATTTCATGGGTTGCTTTCCATATATGTAATATGGCATAGCCCCTGATCTGACCACGGCCTCCCACTGACCACAGTTTCCCTAACAGTGGTCAAACAAAGGCAGCAGCAGCAGTCTATCTTGCTTGCACTTTTAGAGAGGCCACGGTCTGCATGAACTTGACTAGCCAGGAAGGCATCGAAGCTACAGGCAAGAAAGAGGCTCTATGGCTAACCATTTTCTACAAGTATCATAAAAGCAGAAATAATGGCTCAGGCATACAACTCGTGGTTCTGGTATTTGGGCCAACCTGGGGAGAATAACTAGCCCCAGTTCCCAGACTAAGAAATCCTTGGAACAGAGACAATCTTGGAAAAGAGATGCTGCAGTTTTCAGGACCATGGCAATAGCCTCAGAAGCCTTTGGCCATTAGTCTTTTGCCTGGGCTTGTGATTCTTACTGTAGCTGTCGACTGCTATGAAAGCAGCAGATGCCAATAAAAGCCTATGATAAGATAAATCCCACATTCATGGAATTAGGGACTCTACAGAAAGTCTCAGCAGGATAGATATCCTTGTTAAGAAAAAGAACAAACTGAGCATACTGAAAAACTGATACCTGTAGGGGAAAGCAATACATGTATTACAAGGTCAAATTGTTATTTAATAGAGCTATAGACCTGGGAAAGCACAAGAAATGTATTTGACTGAAACTTCCAAAAAGGAATGGCACTTGCCAATGTAAGAAAAAGCCCACTGACACTTTCCCTAGGAAGAAGATTCTTAACTCTCACCTTTGGAGCTGGATTTCCAGACACTCTGCATGTGAAGGTCACTGGCATTCCTTCAAATATCTTGTAATGTTTCAGCTTCATCACAAAATATGGTGCCACACTGTTACTGAGAGCCTCTTCTCCATGCTCCACCTCATCATCAGACTCTTCTACAGGAGAACGCTCTAGTCGAAATTCTATTTCACTGATCAGTCTCTGCTCAAAGCTAGAGACTTTGTATTCCTATCAAATAGAAAGAACTCAGGTTAGTCCCCAGCTTGATATGATAGGATCACTTTTATACTTTTAAAGTGTAATTGATAGCTTCCATCCCACATGAGCTACAGATGGAATGAGCAAAAAACTTTGCTAGACATAATGGTTTTCACACAAGGAACTCATCCCCCCTGCAAGAACAGCTGGAGCCATGGGGCACTTACTGTATATCCCAGCAATGTTTTAAAATACTATGAATGTTAAAGTATTATGCACAACAAACAAAGAGGTTGATTGTTAATTTCTGGAAATAACTTTGTGAAGCCAGAAAAGAATAAGACAACAAGAGGACAGCAAACCAAGAAAGAAGAAGAAAAGTGAAACCTTTTGAACATCCTCCTCAGTTGCTATAGAAGCATCAGAACCAGTTCTCTGTAAAGGCACAAAAGAAAATGAGTACTGGAATTGAGTAAGGAGACTTACAGAACTCTTTTCTCAGAATTTACTATGTTGGTCAAAGGTGGTGGCATCTGGTGGCATCCTATCTGTGGCCTGCCCTCCCCAGAGAGACTTGTCTGGCATCTGTGTTCCAGTCTTTTGGTGCCAGTTAAAGAACTTCATATTCTCCCAGACATTTTCAGAACAGGTTTTAGCAGACAACATGGTGAGGTCAGGGGGAATTTTCATCTCTAAATTCTACTGTGGGTGCTACCCCTCATCCCACAGCTGCCAAATATGGGAAAAATAAAAATGAACGAACCAGCCAATTTTGACTCTTTGAGCACTTGACGGGCTCTTTATTTTGGAGGTTGACAGGGGTTACACTGAGGGCTCCTGAGGGCTGACTGTGATCTACCACTGTTCCAAATCGTTACACATTTGCTGATAGTATCACTTTGCTTTTATGGGTTGTATGGTTTTTACTCTTTGTTGTTGGCTTTATCTTGCTTGAATTATGCCTCATGTTTATGCATTGTTATTGTTTGTATTTTATATATTTAACGTATTCTACACTGCCCAGAGAACTGGGGTTACTGGGCAGTGTAAAAGTGCAAACAGTCAATCAATAGGTATTGATCAGAATACCTATTTGGACAAAATCTAGAAATGTCTTTTCTGTTTCATTTCTGAAATTCTGCAGATTAAGGAAACAACAAAAAAGTATCCTAGGATAATGTCCACATTTTATGTTCAGACAAGGATCAGAATGAACTAGAATGGAAACAGATGTTAATGCAAACAGATGCTCTTCCACTTTATCTTGTGGGCAAGGAAGCACTGCATGACTTTGACTTTTGTATGACTCCTTTCTCTTGTATAAGCCATGCATCTCTCTATATGTTTAAACTCTTCTGACCCAAACAGTTTTCCACCAGCAGAGAGAAACTGGACACTCCAGACAACTGCCATTTCTGCTTCAGGTTGACACATTTAAGTCAACTTGAGGCACAATCCTGGAGAGTTTAGAAAGGAAAAACCACCCAGGGAGCCATTACAGAAAACAGGCCAGTTGTACGTAACAGCTTCAATAGTCTGGTTAAACCAGGAATGCTGACCCTCTTGTAGCTGGAGAGCCAAACTCCATTTTGGAAGAGCTCGTGCAAGCAGCATTCCAGGGGTGGGCTGGACTGAGGGCAAATGGGGCAGGGCCAGAATGCCCCCTTCTCCTAGTGCATTTTAGTAAAAGCTCTGGCTGCCAGTAACTAAGCCTCAGGGGAGACATTTTGACCTTTTACAATGGGGACTGAAACAGTCAAAAGCTGGGAAGCCACAGCATTCGTGGTGGTCATGGGGAAAACAGCTGTAGGACAATCCCAGGAGCAAAATCTTCAGGTCTGCCTATTTTCCCTTCAGTTGAAAGCCCTGTGCAGCCAACTCCACGCAGACAGCCAGGACGTGTGTCGGAAGCACTGCTCCTTCTGCAGCAGCCCAGACAACCATCTGGTCAGGTAGAGCTCTCTGTTCTGTGAAAAAGCACTGTTGTTGCCAGACTTCAGAAGCAAATGAAGAAAAGCAGCTGCAGGCAGAACATGACAAAGCTCACCTGCCCTGCAGGTTCTTCTTCTGGCTCTTGAATATTAAAGACTGTTGCCGCACTGTCGGCCCCTAACAGTCGCCGAGCCATCTTCTCTTCGTATGTTAGCTTCTAAACCAAAAAAAGAGAAAGAGGTGTTTGCATCACTTACTGATAAGCATTACAGACTATAATATGTCACACACAAAAGAATTTGGTGACAACCCCCATGTAACATATTCACCTCTTGAAATGTTTTCCAGATTTCTGCTAACCAAAGCACAATTTCCTCCCTGAACAATATTGGAGGCACAATTCATCCTTACAGCCCCAAAGCAAATGAATTTTTAGAGGAGACTTCCCCAACTTGGTGCTCTCCAGATAGTCTAGACTTCATTTGCTAACCTTCAGGAATTCTGGGGAGGAGTCCAAAATGCCTGGAGATTACCAGCGGGGAGAAAGCTGCTTCAGAGGGTGCAAGGGAAGTTTCTGCATGAGACATAGACCTGAGCACAACTCAGCACTACAAAGCAACCATCACCATCCTCAATGCATCTTTAGAGTATTTGGACCAGATCCAAAGGTTCCTTCTGCTGGAGGAAAATTTCTTCTGGCAGCAGGAGGAGACCCATGGACCAAACCTATTACAAGCCTGAAGAAAGGGAAAAAAAAAATCTCCCATTGTGCAGTGCCTACCATGCTTTGAGTGCTTGTCCACTTCCACCTTTCACTCTTCTATGCATCTTAGGAAAAAACAAACAAACAAACCTACTGGAGTAATTTTTCTATTTCTTTTATAAAGTGTGCACTGGCAGAGTGATGACCTCAAAGCAAATGTAAGAAAAAATGGATCCACGTAGTCCATATGAAAAAGAAAAAAAATGGTTTCCAGTAGCCCAGGTAATACTGATGTTATTTCCTACTTATAAAATTATCCATCAAAAATAAAGAAGGTACAAATGAAAAGGTATATGAAAATTTCAGCTGAACGATTCAGGTTAACAGTTATACAGTTGAAAACTTATGGCTACAGTTTAGAAGTTGGTGTATATATGGAATTCACACTCCTGGCAAACGTCCTAAAAACTCACTGTGTTCTTACACACAAATGCTGGGCTGCAGCCATATCTTAGGTACATAACTCAGTTTGTATCAATCAAAACAGTCAAGACTTCTTGTAACCTCCACATTAGCAGTGTTGAATGGATAGAAATATGAATGTTTACTGAAATGTAAACCATTTTGTTGAAGGCACATAAAACAGTCTTATACTTCCCAGCAGGTCCAAATGAAACTAACCAGGAGTTAAGAAAGAAAGTGCTCCTCAGCACCCTATTTTCTAGCTGCAGTGGAAGCATTAGGTGAATTCCCTTACAGCATCAGAATTAATGATAATAGATACATATAGGAGAACCAGGGACACTCAAGCTTTCTGAGATTCTCTGAACTCCACTTTGCCTTGTTTCAGCTTTCATTTGAGATCTGCTATTCTTTTAACCCAAATGGGAAAAGTGCCCATTTCAAATGGAAAAAAATGCATAATCTCTGTGTACATTTCCAAAATTGTACACTTTGCTGTTAACTAGACCATGAAACCACTTTTTTAAAAAAATCCACATGTTAAAATGTACATTTAAAACATGCATATTTAAAATGCAACTACAAGTTCCAGAATGTGTGAGCTTTTTCTGAAAAACGTTCTCCCGTTTGCATTTGTGCTTGTTGCCAACAAGGCAAATTCTGATGATTTGAGAAGTGAAGCAAAATTCTCATACAACCCTCACAATAGCAAAGTAACTAAAGAACAGAGGGGCCATTCTAAAAAAAAAACAAAAGAGATGCCAAGACATATTCAAGCTTAACTATCTCTCAACCCTCAAAGTTTTAGAATTAAAAACAGGAGGCAAGTTTTCTTGTGTAGTACAATACAGCCATTCTCAGGGACCAAAAAAAGAGACAGATGTATCACTTGTTTGTTCTAATAACTGTGGCTTTGATCTAGCTGCACAAGCAGAAGGAAGGCTATACAAGAAAAGTTGCTTGTACAGAAGAATGTTGCCAATTTATCCCCAGCCCTCTAGCCCCTCTCAAAAGCCAGTTTAGAGGGTCCCTCACTTGGGAGTGTGTGTGCAAATTAGCTTGCGTAGAAGGATCTATGGACCTACATGTCTATTTGTGTTGTTTTCCTCATTCTTATTTTGTGCTGAACGAGACAGAATATACTGTAATATGAAGTTGACATCCAGGTGAATTTTAGAGCTTTGGTTTCTTTCCAGACTTAGACAGACTGAGGAAACAGTTTAGAACTTAGCCCAGAGAACTATGCCTAATGTACCACTTGAATCTGGGGTTACATACTGGTTGGCCATTGTTCAACAAATCTTCCTTGAAACGAAGCTTTCTTTCCAGGTCCTGTATAACAGCATCTTTTGTGCCCTGAATTTCTTCATCAGATGCAATCCTGGCAGTTCTGCCTGTTTTCTTTGGAAATCCTCTGCAAAGTAAGCACATGTCATTTAGAGGCACTGTGGAGGCCACATATAAAGGCAATAATTGCAAGAAGCAGTCTTTGAATGACAGTGTTAATATTTACTATCAATAGCAGATGGTATCATTTGTAATTACATGATGGCACAATAAAATTAATAATTAACCTAACAAATTCATTACTATATAACACTGTGATGGCAGCTAACAATGAGGAGGCATAAGAATGCATATGTCCTGATCAAGCGGGCTGCATTTTAAGAGAACTAATTGATAAGAAGGCGGGACTTGTAAAAAATATTGCACTGCAGTGCTGCAGTTCTTGTTCTGACCCACTCTGCTCTCATCTGTTATTCTTGCTCCTTTTTTGTTTGAATACCATCCACTGGCTTGAATAGGAATAAGAAAGACTCCCCAGCAAAAATTCTCTAGAAAAGGGGGCTAGGTCATCCACCATGATAAACCTCGTTGCCACAAAGATCCTTGATCAAGGTGGTCGACTTAGCCTTGTTTCCAGGCAGTTTTGCTCCATTTCCTTGCAGAGTGGGGGAAAAGGTTGGCAGCTTGGCTCATGGGTACAGTAGCACCGGCAAACTCTGCATAAGGCACTCCAATCCAGATAGATCCTCATGGTACTTCAGTTCTAAGGTTCTTAGTACCTAAAATGAACTTCAAAAATGATTCTCAAGACATTTTTTTACCAGCCACAAAGTCAAGTTTTAAAAACAAAATAGAGAAAGTAAGAATGCCAGGATTTCAGCCATTGATGCAATTCACCACGCCATGCTGTTTTGTCACCTCCAGCCTCCATATGATTCCTCTCACAAAAATCGATTAATATGGAGGTTGGAGGTGACCAAACAGCATGGTCACTGCTTCATGGACTTTGCTTTCTTGAGAGAATCCAAAACATATCAAAGATAATAAGGAAGTAAACTCACTTTTCCATCCACTTTCAAATGCAAGAAGATTCTGCATAGAAGGAATGGGCATAGTCAGGTCACTAACTTAAAATTAGCAAAATGCTGGCTCTTGCCTTACTATGGAGCCCTGAGTAACTCCATGCCCTTTTCTCACTCCAGCACACCACAATGATCACATCATAGCATTGCCTTGACCATAAGCCACTTGCCATTTTAAAATGTCTTTCATGCAGCTGTAGCAATCATTTGGAAATGGAAGCAGATAAAAAGCATGTGGAAAATAAATCTTTCCTGACGCAAACAGTTATCGAGATAGAACAGGCCAGTCCTTCTGGCTACTGCTCCAGCCCTTGGTGTGTTTCCAAACTTCGCTCGAAGATAAACTCCTGGTCATTGCTCATTCAGGAGTAGCCCAAAGTGCAAATGAGCCTTAGGGCAACTAAAGAACCATCTGCTTCTCACCTTCAAAATTTGGGGAGGATTTAATTAAACACAGGCTCAAGTGCCAGACAATGCAGAACAAAGTTTAGGAAGCTCACAAAGAAGATTCTGTGAACAGAAAATGATGCTATGTACTTATGTTATTGCACTAACCTTAGAGAAGTCAAGCATTTATCTTCATACAATATGTTTATGACAGCCTTTTCCAACCCAGTGCCCTCCAGAAGTGTTGGACTAAAACCCCCCATCATACTCAGCCAGTGTGGTCAATGGATTTGGTGTCTAGACATCATGAGAACTATGATCCAGAAGAGCCAGAGCACACAAGGCTAGACTATACCAATCACACTTTCTGAAAGAAGATGTCAGAACATCCAGAATAAGGCTTTAACAAGGCTTTTGACCTATCCTTAGGATTTTCCTCCAGAACTGGGTTTCATAGGGGTAACTGGGAGAAAAGTCACAAGAATTCTTTATGCCTTGCTTCTTTCAAATCCCCATGTCCTTCTTCTATACAACAGGCTTTTGATACTCCAGAAGTGCAAACAAAACAAAACAACACAACCCTGGTACTGAGCAATGGGCATCATGGATACAAAGAACTAGAAAAAATGAGGTTTTTTTCTTGAAAAAGTTTTCAAAGAGTTCAGAAGCATGAGGTTTAGCTGCACATCACCCCAGCTGCAGCTACTGGAGGTAGTGTTCTGTGCTGATCAGGAGATACAAAAGACAGACTCAATCAAGAGCTCACACCTCATCTTGCAATAGTCTCTACAAAGCAAAATGTTCTCTCTCTCTCTCTCCCCCTCTCTCCGCCCCCCCCCCCCCGCACCCTCTCTGTGTGTGTTACAGAAGCTGGGATTTGCTTCCACAGTGTAAAAAAGCATTTGTGCACAATAGGTTCCATCACTGGGTTGAAACTACAATTTATAACTTCATGGGAGTGCACACACTTATGACAGAAGTCTTTCCATACCAAATGAGTTATTCTCACTTAAATGTGGGATATCCTTCACAATGAATAGCTTAGCAGTTACAGTATAAGCAGCCTGGTGCCTCCAATGGTTCTCTGGTCCCATACATCACAACCAGCATCACCAATCACCAAGAATTATGGGAACTGTAGTCTAAAACATTGAGAAGGCATCAGAGATAGATCTAAATAGCCTTCCTTTGATTTTTTTCTCATAAACATCAATAAAAATAAATTTTAAAAAACAGTGAATATATATGAATATATGATAACTCAGTAGTTACTGAAGCAAAATTAAATTTAAAAAGTACATTTGGATGAGACTACCAGCTGCTTCTACTCAGATAAAACCAGAAAATCCTGAAACACTGTTCTCCCCATAACATTCCTTAATCCTCTCAACTTCCATAGATCTTTCCAATTTGATGCACTGCTTGAAGAGCATGAAAACAGCAATTAAATTTAACATCAGCAATAAAGAAAAATATTTTATGGTAATTTTGGAATATGCAAACAATGTTCATTCCAAAGCAATGTTTTCTTTTTAAGTTTCAAAGGCTTTTATGAAGTTTGGTGTCTACTATTCCTATTCAAGGCCATTACTGCTAGAAATTCTGTGCATTCTGTGCATTCGCTCCAAATGTCCAGATTAACAGTACCAAAGAATGAGCACAAGCAATTCTGGGTAAGCCCCACTTAAATCTCCTTCTTTCATGTGGACATTTTCCCAATCAGCTTTGAAAAAGTTTCCTGTCTGGCCATGCACGGATGACCAATTCTATGCCCTCTTTCTAGTGGTTACATACTGTATATTTGGACTGTCTCCCTATGAACCAGCTGTACTTTAGGCACACCCATGCAATTCCTTGAAAAGTAAATAAAAGGAGAATTCAAGTTTCTTTTGAGAGACTAGCACAAGCTGGGTGTTTGCAAGCAGAAAGTAAAAACTCTAAACCAGATTTGATATCAGCTACATGATTCTTTTCATACATAGTTCAGTTGTTCTAAAGATGACTAGGGAACAGACCTGGTGGCTGAAATGGGAATGGTCAATTTGAGAGAGAAAACATAGTCATGAAAACTTGCATTTTGCCCTTTGATGCAACTTGAAACACCTAGGGAGTGCAGAAAACAGACTTGCAGATGCTTTGGTCTTCAACTCTCAGTTTAACTATTTGCCATGAATGCAGGGGATTCTGGGAGTTGAAGTCCAAGATATCTGGAATACTACTTTCTGCCCTTTCTAACTCAAAGCATTCAGACCCGCAGGAAGCAGGGATGCATGCAGGATAAGAAGCTGAAGGAGAAACTAGGCATGGAAGTAGTTAAGGATGTTCTGGCCATGGACAAGGAGCATGAGGACCTGAAGAGGAAGGATGCAATCCAAATCTAGTTCCTAAAAAGAGACAGCATCCCACAAATCAGGTGACCTCTAAACTCTGCTCAGGTCCCTCAAGAACTTCAAAGGGAAATAGGAGTATTATCCTTAAGACAAGCTATCCTTGCATGGCCATTAAGAACAGCTATGCAAGACTAGGATACAGTGGATGGGCTAGGCCTGGATCTCTGTAGAGAACCAGCTGCTAAGTTGCTTCTCACCTGCCTGGCCCAACAGAGATGCCTCTGTCTCCTGGCACAGGCCTTTCCCCAAGTCCAGCTGTGATGTGGGACATGGATGCCTGCTGATGTCGTATGCTGGGCATCCACATTGTGATATGCATTGCATCAGAGATGGAGGAGAACATGAAGAAGGTAAAAGACTAAAAGAATACGGCAATATTTTCAAAGTTCCTGGAATGCATTGGTGTATTCAGGATGTTTCAGTTTTTGTTCTGAAAGAACAATGAAATATTGTAACAATACTTGTGAGGCTAGATTTTGGGTTGCTCAGTATCTTTGTTCATTTAGAGTCTTATGCAGGCACCCAGACTGCTTACTTGAGGACCAGAAGCCACGGAGAGGACACTGGTGCGCATACAAGACCTGCCCCCAACATCCGCATCCATTCAGTCTTTGACTTTCCCATGCTGAGCAGGACATTCTAAAGGGGTTGGTGCATTTCTAATTGCAGTCTTCTGAACATGAATGGAAACCTCCAAGCAATCAGGAACCTGGATAAAGCAGGATTCCTGCTTGTACGAGGGCTGTTTGCTCAAACTCATATGAATGTGGGTAGAACCCATTTTCAGACTTTTCACCTCAATACAGGGAGACTGCAGGCACTGGAGTGGTGTTTAGTGCAGAACACTTCCATGTTAATAACGTTGTCAGTGGGATGCATGGTGCTGAAGATTCCTTTTGTGCCATACCAATCTGTCAATTGCTTGATCATATAAAAGCTGCCAATGATCCCCATGTGTAGTCCCCATGTGTCATTGGACTACAGCTACCATCATCACCAGCCAGCATGGCAATAGTCATGGGTGATGGGAACTATAGTCCATCATCATCTGGGAACCCAAGGTTGGAAAAGTCTCTTCTAAGGCTGGGTTGCCCATGTCCCAGAGAGAGAGAAGCTTTGTCCCATTTTAGGCATCACTGCTGGGGAAAGACTGCTTTCATTGCTTTTCACATTCGCCTTTTCTTGTGAAATACGTGCAGTGAACTAATAACACAGTTCTACTCCAAACCCCAAACTATGAGTAGCTTAATCTTGACTAGTGATACAATATCCCAAATGCTTTAAACAGATCTGGAGAAACCTTGACTGAGGGCAGATTCAGTGCTGATTTCCTCCAGAGCTTCATCCACCTGCAGAAAAAGTCATCCCCCAACCCAGTTCCACAACAGATGGGAAGAAAATATTTTCAAGAAGGACCCAGAAAGGTGAAGAGATGGTTTGACTATAGATTGGTACAGTGGTACCTTGGCTCATGAACTTAATCCGTTCCACGACTCTGGTTGTGACCCAAGTCAAATTTCCCCATAAGGTTCAATGTAAATAAGGTTAATCCATTCTGGCCCCTCTAAATGTGGTTGTGAGCCAATTTTTGGTCACGAACCAAGTCAAATTTCCCCATAAGGTTCAATCTAAATGAGGTTAATCCGTTCTGTGACTATTTTTTTAATCAGAAAAATTTGAAACAAAGTGGCAAAGAACCAACAAAGTAACAAAGTACTGTTCAGTACAGTGGAGACCACTAACCTAGGTGTGGGGGGGAGGTTATTGTTTTGAGGGGGAGTCCCCCTCCATAAGGACATTGGGGAGATCTCTGTCAGGGGTTTCCTCTCTTCTTTGTCTCTTAGCTGCAGGGTCAATTTTGGTGAAAAATCTGTCTATAGTCACTTTTTTTTTCCTGCCCTGCATAACCCTCCAGAAATGAGAGACCACTTTATCGTTCATCAGATTCAACACTATGTTCGTTACAGTTATGCTGGGGTGGTGCTTCTCAAGGAAATCCTGACACTCATTCCATTTTTTCATAATGGATTGTATCGCATCACTGCTAACCTCCTCCCTGTCTTCCTCTTCCTCAGTGGAATCCTCCTCAGCAAGTGCCTTCTGCTGCTCACTCTGGAGTTCAGCAAGTTCTTCTGTCGTCAGCTCCTCTATGTCTTCCCTGCACGAATGCAACTGCAATCGTGGCCATCTCCCCACTTGGGGTGGGGTGCAGGGGGAAATGGCTGTGACCGTGCTGGTTGGGGGAGGGGGAGATGGTTGAGATTGCACCCGTCTTTTCTGCAGGAGTGTGCCTGTGATCACGCACATCTTCCCTGCACAAACACAACTGCGATTGTGGCCATGTCCCCACTTGGGGGTGGTGGTGGGGAGATGGCCGCAATCTTGGTTGCCACCCAATGCAGAGTTTGCGACCCAAGTCAAAATTTTCATGAAATTTTTGTTCGTGACCCGATTTGGTTGTGAACCAAGGCGTTCATGAGCTGAGGCACCACTGTATTTGGGAACACTTGAAGATTAATTACAAAGAGAAAACAAGGACTCATTTTCTCCTCCCCTATTGCTACCTAGGCTGCAATCCCATAATTCTATACTTGGGAGCAAGCCCTACTGAACTTTGAAACTGTTCTGTTTCCTCTTGACATCTTGTTTTGGACATGATATTGTGTGTGTGTGTGTGTGTGTGTGTGTGTGTGTGTGCACGCACGCATGCATATATACATACACAGAGAAATCAAAATAGGTATGCAGCTGCAGCCTTCCTGTGTAGCACAAATAAAGAAATCAAGTGTTTTATCTCGTAGCCAAAGACAGGACAGAGTCTACAAATGAATTAGATGGCATATATGGTTGTAATCCTGTATGTCATGTACGTGCACAAGGAGAAATTTTTACCAATAGATCATGGAGTGGGTGGAGAATTCAAGCAACACACAGTGTGCAGGGTCCAAACATTCCCTGCATAGTTGTCAACCTGCTTTACAGAGCTCTGTGGAGGGGAAGGAGACTGGATGGGCTCCAGGGATCACCACAGCCCACTAACCATTGGAGCATTTTTCTTCCAACTCCCCTAACACACACTTCATTTAATGCTTAATGCTGAGTGTTGAATTGGTGTTTTTACGCAGCCAGTTGCTATTCAAAATGTTTTCTGTAGGCAATAAACAAACCTTTGGAAAAAAAACTGATTAGTTTTTGGGGATTTGGTTAAGGTTCTGGAATGGCTAAATCTATATGTTGGCAACCTAGCATCTTAAAGCTATCCAACTGGAAGATGTTCACTTGAACAATGATGGCTTGGACAATGCTGCCAAATCCACAGCCTACAGAGGCCTCTAATTCACAATGAATTTCCTTTGGGTTGAAATGTCTATGTGATATTTATTGCTTGTGTTCCCATGCCACATATTCAGGAACAAATGTTATTGAGCCTTGATTGAGAGGTCTATAAAATTTTGATTTCATGGGAAATCAAGATGTCTCTTCTGGCTTCAGCTAAGTGAGGATTTCATTCTTCTACTTGTCTTTCGTCCATTATCCTTAACTTTCACCACAGCTATGGAGGACATGTTTGTTATTCTTCCCCTGATGCTGTGTCAGTTGGAAGCAGCCGCTAGGAAGCAAGGAGAAGGGCAGTTCTCCTACGCCTTTGACCTTTAAGCAACAGGCCCCAGCTGAACAATGTTGGGAGTGTGAGAAAAGCTGAGGGTAATAAGCAAGGGAGAACAGGAAGGCCTGTCCAGGGCCAGAATGGAATGTCATATGAAAGGAAGTCCACAGGGACTCTATCTCTGCTATGCTTCAAAACCAATTAACATAATCCTTCCTAGTTAATTTCCTTAAAATTTCTATGAAGTATCCAGTACCAAACATTGCCAGAAAAAATGCTGTGACCACAGATCTATTCTAGTGTAACCATGTTCATAAACATGATATTGTCATGGATACAATGAACAGAATCCTAGGCAAGGGCTGAATTACACTGACAAACAGATCCTCCCAAATACACATCTGTCAATTTCTGTGAATGCAGTGGCCATGGGTGCATTCCCACTGCAGAATCAGTGCAAGTCGGAATGATGAGGCACCCACTTCCTTTGTATCGATACTTTCCAGAACAGGTCCTAATTGCCTCTGCCCACACCAGCATTATAAAATAAACTTGGAACTGGTGACTCTTGTGTTTGATTACTGTTATGCACACACACATTTTACCCTATGCTACTCCCCATAGAAAGCCATTTCCTTTCAACAAGTATCAGCTGATTTTGAAAATCCCCTGAAAATAACTGGCAAGAAATACAAAGGGCAATATCTGATGTTGCCTATGTGCTAGCAGAACCCCCCCACCACCACTAGTGCAATGGAAAGCTCTGAAAACAATCAGCAGTGAGCGAAAATACAGGGCAAGCCAGTGGGGTTTGCAGAAGGGAGCTGTTCTGAGCCAGAAACAGCCATGTTGGCTCATTTCTAGGGCTGCTAAATGAAGCACCAGCTTCCTCTTCTGACTGGTTCCACCAGCACAAGAAAAAGTGGAGGGTCATTGGCAGTACTGGCTACTGCACCTTGTACTTTTCCAAAACAGGAATGTCGCCACACAGCGCATAATGAGGGCAGCATCCCACAAGCTAACAATGGAAAAGTGCTGATGAAAAAATGGCTAACAGCTGAAAAGTGCTGCTGCGTGTTGTGTAAGGGGCAGAGCACGAAGACCAGCAGAAACCAAGTATGGTGCGTGTGACCTTCCAACTTCTGCAATAACTGCCATATAGATGAGCTTTTTGATCTCATAGGTTAACTACAAAGTACTGCTTAACAAGTCTTGCATTCAAAGTGAAAAAGACTGAACGATAATTTTTGAAAAGTCCACCAAATATTTATACTTACGGGGGTGTGACTCCTTTTGGAAGCCCTAGTGCATTAACGGAGACTGGAGGTGGCTGGGATGGAAGCATGGAGCTGAGGAAGGCTGCTGGAGACTGACCAGAGTTTGAAAATCTAGATGTTGGAGAAAGGCTGCGGGAGGGTGAAGGAGCAGAGGCTGGGAGAGGTGGAGGTGGGGGAGGTGGAAGCGGAAAGCAATCAGTCACAGAAAAAGTAGAGGTTGGGCTAAAAACAGGGGGAGGGGGAGGGGGTGGGGAAGGGGACCAGGGGTACTCCCCCTCAGGAGAAAATGGTTGAGAGAAAGGGGGAACAGATGTTCTGCCAAACTGTTTCTGAGAAGCAGTGGGAGACAAAGGGGATGGGAGGCTTGCAGTGGAAGATCCAGATGAAGGAGTCACATAGCTTGAAGCAGGGCTGATGTTCTGTGCAGCGATAAACTGTTTAGGACGGGCATAGTTGAAGGAACTGGATGACTGCATGGTGGGAGCTGAATGGGAGTTGAGAACACTCATTTGCCCTGGAGAACTGGCAGAGTGGCTGGACTCAAGTTCTTGGACTGAAGGCGGAGGAGGGAAAGTTGGAGACAATGGCTGATGACTCCACTGGCCAGCTTCTTTTTCTAGACGGATTTGGTTCTGCAACTGTTGAATTCTTAGCGGGTCCCTGTATATAAAAACAGAAAGGAGAACACTAACTACCAGAAATTTAATTTCATTATGAGCAAATGGAGAAACACTCAAGAAGAATGCCAGTTTGATGCTGTGCAAAACAAACAAACAAACAAACAAACTTTCCCTACAAACACAGTTAACAAATCAGGAGAGGGGCATGGGTGCGGATAACCATCCCAACACCCTATCCCCTCTAACATGTAATTTTCCCTACACTTCTTCCAATGGCTTTACCCGTAGTTATTATTTATTTAGAAAATTTCTATGCTGCCCCATTCACCGAAGCGTCGGGGCGGCTCACAAATATATCAATTAAAATATTATACAATAAAAATATAAAACAAGTTAACAATATAAAATAAGTCGCCCTGGCTGAAGAATAAAATAAATAAATAGTATTAACAGTTAAAATGACGTTTGAATAAAAAGGTCTTTGCCTGGCGCCGAAAAACAAATAACGACGGCAGTATATACATTTATACAGTATATAAATGTTTTAAACATACACAAAGCATTGTTGGACACTATTTTGATTAGACATGCAATGGTCCTATCACTTTCTGGCAAATAGATAGGGAAGAAATTGAGGTAGTGACAGATTCTATTTTCTTGGGCTCCAAGATCACCGCAGGTGGTGACTGCAGCCAAGAAATTAAAAGATGCTTGCTCCTTGGGAGGAAAGCTATGGAAAATCTAGAAAGAATACTAAAAAGCAAAGACATCAACCTGCTGACAAAAGTTCATATAGTTAAAGCTATGGTTTCCCAATTGCAATGTATGGCTGTGAGAGTTGAACTACAGAAACACAGAAACAGAGCAAGTCAGAAGGGGTCTCCTGGGCCATCTAGTCTGACCTCCAGCTCCAGCCGGCTCTGCTCACGACATGCCCATCATGTGCATGTCTAGCCTATCTTTGAACACCCACACCGATGGGGCCTCAACCACCTCCTGTGGAAGCCCATTCCATACCCTCGGGATCCTAACTGTCAGGAAGTGCTTCCTGGCATCTCGATGGAACCTTGGTTCCCTGAGCTTTGCTCCATTAGAGCGCATCCTGCCTTCCTCTGCAGGGGAGAACTGAGCGTTGAAGAATTAATGCCTTTCAATTGTGGTGCTGGGGAAGACTCCCTTGGACTGCAAAGAAATCAAATCAGACAATCTTAAAGGAAATCAACCCTGATTTTTCTTTAGTAAGTCAGATACTGAAGATGAAACTCAAATACTTTGGCCACCTAATGAGAAGGAAGGACTCACTGGAGAAGACCCTGATGCTGGGAATGACTGAAGGCAAAAGGAGAAGGGGATAGCAGAGGTTGAGGTGGCTAGATGGGGTCACTGGGGTGGTTGGTGTGGGCTTGGGTGGACTCCGAGAGGTAGTGGAGGAGAGGAGAGCCTGGGGGAATGTTGTCCATGGGGTCGTGATGGGTCAGACATGACTTAACAACTAAGCACACAGTCCACAAAGTGTATAAAGATCGCTAGACTCCAAACATTTTTAGTAGCCTTACAGTAGGGAAGACTAAAGGAGGCAAAAGCCCTTCAAGACTCCTCCATTTCTCCACTTCAGTTCTATGCTGTCCATACAGAAAGGGGCTTCCTCTTCCCCATGCTCAGCATAGGAACACATTGCAGAGACCTGGTGTGCTTCTGCAGCCCAGCCTTTATCAAACAGATGCAACTCCTTGTCACCTGTGGCAACCAGGAACATGATTCAAAACAAGGCTGCTTAACCTCAGACCTTGTCTGCTCTTTAACTTGTATCATTTCCCACTGATCTGTGCCAAATGCTTCAGCACTAAAGAAAATGGCACTGAGCTATCTTATATGCCAAGTATTTATACCAAACCCATGCCCAACACATGACTGTAAAGATGTACCTAGCAATTACATCCTGCTGTCTTCTTTGCTGAAAAATAAATGCCTGGGCTCTGAGCTGGATTGTTACCCTAATATGGAAAAGGTGGGAAAGGGAAGAAGCAGGGTTTTAATGCTTTGCCCCTCAATGTCGCTCTGATTTGGAACAGGCCCTGTTTGCATCTTCAACGTTCATTGCTCAAAAGTGGTCCACTGGAAGGAATTGCTAGAAATATCCTGAAAGTGGTGTGTACTTTGATTCTCAGTGTTCCTGCAAAAATGGGACTTCCCTCCATGGCTGCTGAGATGGGGCTGCTGGGGGCTGGGAAGATTAGAGTCTCTCTCATCCTCCAGTGATCCTGTCTGAGATCACTGTTTTCCTGTTGCCTTGAGTAAGTAAATCTCCTTCCCCACCTCAGCTGACCCCAAACCCCTAATAGCAGCCCTGGAACAGAAGTCTTTCCCCCAGATCCCACTGGTTAGGGTTCCCCATGGCTCAGCAGCCACACAGAGAGCTTCAGAATGCCACATGTAGCCCAAGAGCTGCTGGTTGCCCACCCCTGTATAGAGGTGCTATACTGGTTTGCATATCATCATGAGCATTTCTCTCTCTTTCCTAGCCATCTCCTCCATAGCTTACAAAGCATTAACATACTATATAATCCAACTGAAATATTCAATAAAACCAAAATATTTAAAGCAGCATTGGAGTGGAAAACTGAAAGGCTGCCAGTGAAGGAAACAACAGTCAAGGTTAAAGGCCTTGTCTAGATGGTTTCCACAATGATCTCAAAATTGCTCTGTGTACTACTAAAATGAAGTTTTGTCCTCAAGAACATCTCAGAGTTCCACCATGATCTAATTCGGATGTCTCTGTTTCTCTTTGGGTAACTTGCTATGATTTATTCAAGCTTTTTTTTCTAGGCAAGAATTAAAGTAGATGCCCTCTTTCCCATCTAAGATGGAGCACTTAGATATCAAATGGTACCAAATATAAGTGCAATAACATTTTAACTGTAGCTCTCTATAATACACATGGAGTCACAGCACAGGAAAGAGATGGCTACACATGGCCTAACTCCACAAGTGATCAGGAAATATATTTTTGATTGCTCCTTATGACCAGCATTATCCTCAGTATCCCTATTTCTAATTTGAGTGTTAGGCATCTGGAGTGCTGGCTATTGTAGACCATCTGAGTTGCCTCTACTGGCTCTTGAAAGCCCAAGCTTTTGAATGCTCCAAGTGTGTGCAGTAGGGCAGAGTCCTTGAATGCACACATGTGCAGTCTCCATCCCCCATCTGACATTAGGTGGTCCTTGGGCTCAAAAGGCTTGTGCACCCCTGCAGTATCCAAATAACTTAGTACAGGGAACCATTCATATCAAACAGCATTCAGAGATTGGCTTGTTCAGATGCTTCACATATACAGTGGCCTTGTGCAGGCTTAGCATTTACCTAGATGGTAGCATTAGGTGGCTGAACCTTGGGCACGCCTCTCCTCTTCTGCAAGGAGATCGGAAGCTTTAGCTTCTGTCTTCATTCAACAGCGGTCAGTGTTATGGTCCTAGCCCAAGTTGTATTTAATCTTAATCATGGCTTATTGATAAAAAGCCAGCTTCCTAAACCACTTTGATGTTGGGTTGTTTTAGTAAGCTATCATGCAAGACTAAGCAAGAGGGCTTGTTGCTAATGGGCAACTTTAAAATAAATTTAATAAATCAGTAATAAATAAGCATAATTTGCAAAAGGAAAGTGGCAGGATAAGAAATATAATAAAGAAAATCATTAGTAAACTCTTTCAAAAGTTTCAAAAATATTCACCTGGTATTTTAAGTATTGTTTTATCATATAATGTAACCATTTATTGTATATTTTATATACTGGATTTGTATTTTAATATGCTGCTATGTTTCTGGTTTGTAAGCAGTCTTGAGATCCAATGGGATAGAAATGTTTTAAATAAAAATAAATAATAAAAAGTGAAGCCTACTGAGATTAATATAATCTGCTCCTAAATAAGTGTGTAAAGGGTTACACTTGGCTATTATGCCATGTAATGCACACTTGCCCTTTAAAAAAGCATCATATGTATGTGTATACCCACACAGGCAAAGAGCTGTAGTCACTCTACTGTAGTGATGCTACAATCCAGCCAAGATCAACTTTACCCTTGTGTGGTCTCTATCAGAATCTTCATCCATCTTCTTCATATGCTATTTATCACAGCTGGAAAAGCCCAGAGTTGTCCCAATATTCCAGATGCAGCTGTATTTCTTTCATTATTGTTCAGTACATCTTGCATATAAATATTTATAATAGTATGTATATATAACATTTATCTTACAGTGCAGCTAAGAACTCTAAAACCTAGGTCTGAGTATTGCTGGCAAGTAACATGTCCTATTTCATGTGGTTTTACAGAGTGGATATGCAAAACTGATAGCAAAGTGGTAGCTACTTCCTTCCTTGCTCTATAAAGAAAATAACTTGCTTCCACATAAGATGATGTTACAAGTCCTGCAAACTCAACCTATCATTCCAGCCTGAAACACCCAGTTGGAGCCAGATTAGCTGCAATGAACTTAAGTGTACCATCTCCCCTTGTGATGGGAAAGTTTTTCAAGGAAGGAGTGAAGAGCAATGGAAGCAAATAAAAAAAAAATAGTAATGGGAAAAAATCAATTAGGACCTGAGAGAAATGCAGTGATGATCTATGATAAGAATCTGTACAGCTCTCATTCATCTCAATGAAGATTTATGCAGAACCACCTCCTGGAGCACTTTCCCCTAAGTAAGTTTCATCAAACCTTTTTCACTGGCTGAAATGGTACTGCATTATGTAGAAATACATATAAGGCTACAGATTTTTTTTCTTTTAAGAAAGAGGTTTGGGGGCCCTTTTTCCTCCAAAGCACTTCCTTAGGATTACAGGGGTGCCAGGTGGATGATTAATTACATAAATCATGTAGATGCAACTCTACATATGTTTAGACGGAAAAAGTCCTTCAATTTCCAGCATGACTTGGGTAGCCTTTTTCTGTCTAAACAACCATAGAATGGTGCCCTAACAGTACAAGGGCTGGAATTAATGGTGGGAAATTGGGACTGTCTGCTTCCTTTGCACACGGAAACCAC